TTGCCAACCTAAATTCAGCGCGTCAAAACTTTCTTGCCACTTCGTTTGAATTAGCTACTTTTTTGCTTCTCGCTTGAATTAGAACCTTTTTGCCGCTGCGCTCGAGTTAGATACCTTTTTGCCTCAGCGCGCGAGTAAGTATTCTTCTTGCTACAGCTTGGAAATAGATACCTTCCTGCGCTGGGGCGACGATATAATGTTCATCGCCATCTGCAAAGAGTAATTTTATGTAAAAGTATCTTAAAACCTATTTACAAAAAACAATTATATTAATGCAATTAAAATCTTTTTATGAATAATAGTATATTTTCGCTTTCTATCTTACCATAAAAATTTAAATTTTTTTCACGAGTTCATTATGTAGCACAGAAAAATGATAAATCAGATCCATGTATTCTACAGTTTATGCATTTTTTGCATTTTTTATGCAACAAAAATATTTATCAATTATCATAAGGCATAATTTTCAATTCAAAAATACACTTTTTCAAGCAAAGAGGAAAAAATATGATGTAAAGTGCTTTGAAAAATGGTTTCAAATATAACAGAATAAATTAGCCATTGAACATTTTAAATAACCCCTCCAGCTAACTATTATGCTTGTCAATTCAGTAACCGCAGTTCCCCCGTACATAATATCAAAAATGATTTCTCTCCTCCTATCACCAATACCAGATCTAATGACATTCCCCACAAGCGGAGTGCGTTGTTTCATAATGAAGTGTCTCTTTGAGTACTTTCGATTACGTGAATTACGTGACGCTTTTATTTCAAGTGTTATTTACGAATTTATTGCCAATAATATAAGTTTTCTTAATTGTATATGTAATCGATTGGAAAAGAAGCGCACGACGCAAAAACTTGATACAATAGCGAGGCCTGAGCTGACATTTTTCTCTCTCTCGCTCTTTGCTAGCACAAGAATCTTTGTAAAATGAGCTGTCCCGCAAGTCTCGATCGTGCACCCGCAGCAGCCCTCAGATTACTAAAAAGGCCGTCATCGTTGCGCACTTTGAAAAATTCAAGTGCGTGGAACGGAGACAGAAAAAAACAATGATCGACCGCCGTGCACGTTAAATCGATGACGCAGGAAGAGATGCAGCGGCAACACAACGGAAACGTATACACGACGTGCTCTGTATGAAATATCTCTGGTTGCGCGCGGCACAACAGACACGGAGTATATATCTCTATACTTATAGAGCTCCGGATGGATATCGAGATTATAATAAACGCAGATGAGAAGCGCAGTGCGGATAATGAGAAAGGGAGTCTTCTCTCGGCGAAGGCGCGATGATGCCAGAGAGCGAGCCATTTTGCGGGATGAATTATGCGGACGCGCGGAATATTGCAGAAAGCCAGAAAATTGGTACTCGCATTGAGAGAACATGTGTAAACTCGCGTGCTTAGTCAGGGAATAAAGACCCCACACATACACAGGCGCGTTGATTGGCTTCACTCCGATGGATTTAGCGCGTACAGCATATATGTAGGTTATTATATAGACGGCGGGGCGAATCGAGTTCAATGCGCAGTTGACGGTCAGACGTGGGGTTGACTGAAAGAGAGAGAGAGAGAGAGAGAGAGAGAGAGAGAGAGAGATAGAGAGCGAGATATGGTCGTGCTTGGTGCGGGTGTATTCGGCCACGCTCTCATAGTTTCGCTTAGCGCATGAAAATCGAACGATTTCTGTACATTCGATTTAGCTGAAAAGATAATTGATTCTTCCACACAAAAAATTTACGTGTTTTTTTTTTAACACCTGATCTACTTGTCGTTGATTACATCTGAATCGCGCGGAAGCTGTGAAAAATACTAGGCCCCTACACTTATGTACACGTATACGGGGCGCACGCACAAGATAGAGAATAGAAGCGCACGATATAATCAAGCCGGCCGGCGAACGATCGACCGACCGACCGACAGGCAGCACAGCTGTGGCTCCCTCAAAATTCTATAGCCCCGCGGCTGCTCTCTTTCTCTCTCTCTCTCTCTCTCTCTCTGGCCCTTTTTCGCAAATGCCAATTAAGGTTGCAACTTTGAATCATCGTAATTGGCTTCTCTACACGCGCATCTTTAGCTTCCTTTCTGCTTTCGTCTATATATTGCGGTAGATCGGAGTTCGTAGGAGTTTTAATAAGCAGCGCGCGTTGCCACTGAAGGTACTCGGATAAAGAAGCGCGCTTATGGGTATCTGCTAAATTTAGCATGCAAAAGTTTAGGACGAAAAAGTAATTTGAGATCAAAAACGATCAGTCAGTTGTTTTTTGACTATTTACGCGAACGAGTGAAATAACACGCGACTCGTGAATACACCCGAAGGAATGAAGTAACACATGGCTTGTGAGTACTTATTTCAAGTTGATGTTTCATTAATGCATACACGCGAGTAAAATCAAAATGAGATTTTGTCTTTTCTGTAACATCGCCTCTTATATGTCGACTCACAGTTAGAAATTGTTTTCAAAATCAATAGCCTACTACATTTCGTCATACGCGAGCTTTCTCTACTTCGCAAGACTCGAATTCAGAACATTCGTAGTGTAGTACTTATCTTTCTACGCGGCACCATAATAACCTAGCGCTGACCAGGCACTGACATATTTTATCGAATTTCGATTATGCTCAAAAGTCGCCTACCGATACTAACCACGACGACGCATGATAATTGTCTTATCGTATCGTTATGAGTATAATATACAATTTATTGATTCACAGGTTCCGAGTCGCGAGTTATTGTTTGCAATGTACGTTTGTACGTCGACACAATCGTGAATTCTCCTTTTTCGCTCGTCTCTCGTTACGAATCTTCAAGTCTTCTAAATATAGCGATATGCTTACTTTTATTTCAAAATAATGGCGCACAAAAATCGATATGAAGCATTCTGCAAGTAAGTAAGGTCAAACGTTTCAATATGAATTTAAAGCTCGTTCGGAGCAATGGACAACCTCTATTTTTAATACGCATTACAATGAAATCAACAGTTAAACTCTCAAATGCGATATTGAGGACAAGAGATTGAAAAAAATGATGACAATGCATCTTGTCCTTATACATTTGCCGCGCCAGACAGTAAATTCAGAGATGAAAAATCTGGTAAAAAACTTATTTACTCGCTCGATGAGATAAAGAATGGCGCAATGACGCATAGTCGTGAATGAATCGTTTGGATGTAATCAGCTCACTCTACTACAGCGTTTTGTACATTTAAGAGAGGAAGAGGAAGAAAATAATCACGGTATGAGTTACGTTTAATTCATTTTTCGCTTCTTCTATGAGTTAAAGGGCGAAAGCTTCAGCCGTCAGTTCGAGAATTTCACGCACCTCAGTTAACTCGTAAATTTTTCAATGCATTTAATTCGCGTAAAATTTCAACGAACAACCAAAGATGATTAAAACGCAGATAAAAATTTCTTTTCGTCATTCGCACGGCAACACGAAAAAAGGAGAATTACAATAAAAAAGGTCATTTCACCCACGCGACCTGAATACAACAAAACACCATCGTCTTCGTCGTCGAGTATTATATGTAGTGCACATGCAGACGTGTAAAGCAGTCTTTTGAAAAGCAGCTGCCTAGAAACTTGAATAATATTTTTTGCTCTCCGTGCATCTTTTTTTCTGTTCGTTGCATTAGATGAGTAAAACGCGAATATTTAAGTTCGTGCAGCAGTTACACGCAAACATACAGATGCACACACACACTCTTGCGTATATTTATGCGTTATTATGAATACTACTGCGACAGTTTGAGAGAACGTGAATCATCCGCTATCTTGCGTGTATTTACGTGCCTTATATGTGTAAGCGTTTGTATGCGAGTGCCACACGCGCGATTCCATCATGCAAAATTGTCCGTTCTGCTGTTGCTACTGTTGCCTACACATCGTAAACGTGCTGCACGCGCAGACTGGACAACATTCGATTATTCAACGCGACAACAACGCATTCTTTTACAGCTCAAGCCAATGACATGATATTTTGAACTATAACTTTTGATGCAGCAGCTGATTTTTTATTCATATTTATAAGTATATCACCGAACTTGTGTCGCACGGAAAACAAGACGTACCTCCCACATCGGCGTTGTCCCCCTTCGGACAGAGCGATATATATTCACACAGACAGGCAAACAGCAGCAGTAGCGACTAGACGTTATTCGTATCGTACACATAGACATTTTCGTACAATCACGCCTACTCATTGCGATCGTTATTATGCTCCTCTCGACGTTCTATGAGCACGATGAAAAAGCGGACAAGTATACGAGTATTTACTGCGCGTGCAGAGAACACAGAGGCCGCGGCGGCGACGCATCTAGTCGAATAATTCATGGAATTATTAAATGAATACTCTTTTGCAGGGCAACACGAGCTGACTGTGTGCGTGTGTGTGCGCGAATGAATATATACGTATATCGCATGCCGCGCGGTTCGCGCACACGCGGACGAACCGTACGGCCCTGCCCTCTTTCAAGGATATGTCGTCGTCGTCGTCGGGCACGCAGCGCAAAATATATATAGAATATGCATTCGAGCCGAGTGGTCTTCGATACATCGTTGCATCGGTCATAAGTAACGCGCGAGAAGCCGAGAAATGCATCGACACCTCCCAAAGGATTAATCAGCGAATTTCGTCGCACTCGGACAGATGCTCAATGCATAAATATCGTGGGCATAAGCGCACGAGAGCTGTGCGAACGAGGAAGTGGGCGTTGCGAATAAAAACTCGAGTCTCTCTCTCTTTTCTCGCATACACAAACGCACGTACACACGCACACTTACTCATACTTCACGTCTACATGTATACACGGAGTCGGGCGAGTTAGCGAGGAGGCCGCCTTTGCACGAATTTGGAGTACGCATTCGTGCATCCGTATTTTTCATATGTAAAATTTACCCCAACACAGGCTCGTACGTGTATGACAGTAAGATAGTAGCAAAGAACGTAAATATCGCACAGAAGCCTGGAAATAGACGTGTATCGTAGTACTACTCACCATATTGGCCGGCAGCGCCGTGCAGCTTATCCAGCAGCAGCACCGGCTGTAACATAGCTCGAGAGGCATCTATGTACGCACTCGCACTGACACTACGTTGTGTATATGTAGTTGTATTATATACGAGCGAGGAGCTTTTTCGGCCTTTACGGAGTTTTACTCGCTCTCGGCTTTCTCCGACTACGATTTGATTGAGCCGATTGTTGACACATACACACGCGCAAAGAGGCACACGTTATATCACACAAAGGCGCACAGTCGATGAACGAGAAAGAGAGATATAATACGCACTCGCGTTCACGCGTAGAAAGAAAGATATAGGCGACGAGCTCTCTCAGCGAGCGAGAGAGGCACGTATATGCTCAAGGAGTTTTCGCTTGCAACTGCTACCGACCAACATCAGCAGACGCAGCAACACATAACTGGCAGCTCGCTCACATCCTTGCTTAGGACGTCTATGTGTACAATCACCAGTGTGAGAGAGAGATAGAGAGAATAGAGAGGGAGACAAAAACACTGTTAACACGACTCCCTTCTTTTGCATAGACACCAGCAGCTCGCCGATAAACGATAATTATAATTCACGCGTGCGATAACTGGACGATGCAACGATCACCGTTGACGTGTATTCGTCAGCCTCGTTGAGGCCTCGTTAAGGCCTCGTCGGCGGGTCGCGGCACGACTGTCTCGCTCTCTCTCTGCAGACGGTGCGGAAAATGTTGTGCACTCGCGCACCAGCACACACACATAGACAGACACACACGCACTGTATACTGCGTCTGCGACGTCTCCGAGAGAGTTCGGAGCACCGTAAACTGACCGCTAGCCGCGCGCTGCAGCTCGCTGTGCCAACAGAGTATATACACACTACATACACTTGCAAAGCTGCACGCACACAAACACAGAGTCCGGAGTTTCGCAGGCCGCAGCACGAGTCGCGACAGCCAAAGACTTCCACAGTTGGGTTAAAATGGCGTTTATCGAGTTTATATGGGAGCCTCTGCTATGTTGGTGTGTGTATACACGCAGAGATATATGTGTACATGTACGCCGCGCGCCGCAGCAACTATATATACGCGAGAGCTGCTGCTGACTTACACTCTCTGCGGCTGCTGCTGCTGCTGTTGGCTGCTTGTGCTTCTGCGAGAGCTCGTGAGAGCGAGTCGCGCCGTTCACTCATACACGTAATGTTGCATTGCAGCCGAACCGAGAGCGGCGGTATCGCACGCTACTTACAAACACATGCACTCACACACACACACTTTGCAGTATACGCCGCTATACACGTAGGTATATAGTTATGCGCGAGTGCAAAAGAGACCGACAGCCATTCCCGTTTTCACGATAAAAATTGCAGAGAAGTCTCGCGCGGAGCTTCGAATGTTCGCCGCAGCTGGCCGATAGCGCGCTCCACGGCAGCTCGCGAAATTCACTGTATGCGGAATAATAAGCGACTTCGAAGCAGGTGCTGGATCGCTGGATCGCTTTTTTACCGATGCGCCGATGGCTGAGAAGGAATTTTCCGAATTTTCCGTGTTATGCCTACAATCAACCAGCTAAATTAATTTATTTGTTTTCAAAATTAATGAGATACTGTTCGAAACAAACGTTTACTTGGTAAGACGAATTTTCAAATTACCTCCTAATGAACTCTTAAAAATATTACCAAAACCATTAACTATCCAATTGATGAAAAATTATTATTATTTCAATAAAGCATTGTAATTTTTAGTATCGAAATAAATGATTGACACTGAATTGATAAAATCTGCATGTTATCATTTGCAAAATCAAGTATGAAACGAGCTTTAAACTTTGTCTATTCATTATCGTGGTTGTGAACACCTCTCACCTCAATTCTCATGCTTCAGCCATCAAGCCGCCAAACACCTACGTCTGCCGCCTGCTATTCATATTTCTCTACGCGAGTGTATACATTCTATTGCATTGTTGTGATAGGACGCAATTATTTGTTTACACTTGCTCGTTTATTTGACGTAAGCAACAATTTTTAAGTTTATTCATTTATAAACATGGCAGACGAAGCTGAAAATGTGAGTAACTTTTGTAAATTGTACAATTTACCGAAACTATTTGCTTAAAAAACCTAAAGTAACCTCAAATGTATGAATAGGTACCGGCTATCAATGTCAAAGAGCCGCTAGATTTAATCAGACTCAGTTTAGACGAGAGGATTTACGTCAAAATGAGGAATGAAAGAGAGCTCAGAGGTCGATTACACGTGAGTTATTAAAAATATTTACCTCAAAGATTATAAATTACAAATCATTAACAAGTATTATATTTTAGGCATATGATCAGCATCTGAATATGGTACTCGGAGAAGTAGAAGAAACAGTGACAACTATAGAAATTGATGAGGAGACATACGAAGAGGTGTATCGTACCACAAAAAGAACCATCCCTATGTTATTCGTGAGAGGAGATGGTGTTATACTTGTATCCCCTCCAAGTATGAGGGCAGCGATATAACTTTTTAAGTTACTGCAGCTTTCTGCGCAGTATAAAGAATTAAAAACCATGTATGTAAAATTATTTTTATAGACAATAATGTTTACTTGATAACTAAGGATAAAATATATAAAATTTTAAGCTGTAAATATGAATTTTTGGTGATTTTACATACATTCATTACAGATTTTCAATATCCATGCTTGATAATATAAATTAAATTGCATATAAATTACATTTTATCAAAGCTTGATACTAATTGTGCAGTTAAATCTTCAATTTGTTGTTCTTTGAATGCAAGCATAGTTTCTAAGTGATCAATTCTTTTCTGCAATGCACAAATTGTATTTGTTTTTTCATCTGATTCCTTTTTGAGCTTTATAAAAACTTTACGAGGTACCATTTGATTCAGTGAGTCTTCAGGATTTGAAGCATCCAACTCTAATGTTCATAAAAACATGATTATAAGTAAAATTATAACTAAAAGAATTCTTAAAAGCTATTCATTTTAAACCAATAATACAACCTTCTTCGCAATCTTTGAATAAGGCATTTCTGTCTGCATTGCAATCTTTGATAATTTTTGTTCTGATTTCATATAAAACTCTTTCTATAACTCCAGGTTGTGATTGAGCTAGTCTTTTTATCAATTCTGGACTTAATTTCATGTTAATTTTTGGAAAAACTTTTCGGTTCAAAGTGCTCCAATTATCAATTTTATTCATAGTATTACTTGCGGGTATATAATTTTTGATGTCAACAATTTTTGGATAATACCTCTTCAATATTTCAGCCATTAAAACTAAAAATCAAAGAGATTGAGAAAAAAGTATGCAAAACAAGAGCAATAAAACGAGTTCGATTACCTCCGTCAGAAAAGTCTCTCGTCACATTGCGCTTTGGTCTGGAAAGTGGAATTTCATCCAACCACGCGTAAATTTCACGAATATCATCACCTCTCAGTTCTGTGTCGACATTCATGTTAGGTTTACATTCACATTTGTGGACATTGAACTTGACTAATTTTTTACCTCGTTCTTTAAACAAGGTTATACAAAAAAAAATAAACAAACGTAAATGTTATACACTGCTCGTTAAAACAAGTATATCTCTACACTTCAGTATATTAAACGTCAAAAAAGTTTTGAAAATCAATGTAAAGTTAAAATAAAATTCTATATTTTAACGTTGGAAATATTTTCATTAAAAATTAACAAACAAAGAGCGTCTGCTGCGTTATTTATTTTGAGCTTTTCATTAATTTAATTGTTTTCTATGATACCCTATTTTTTTATGAGCGATTTGATTATTAATTTATTATTAATTTATTATTAAGCGAATTTATTATTAATTAAATTTCAAAAATTTTAAACACAATAATAGTAGTCATAGATTGAGTAAGTGGAGACCAATTATCAAAAAAATAATATTTTAGTTGTAATGGGCAGGATAGATTAAAAATTTGTTAAATTCGTGAAATTTAATCCAATTTATTTTGACATTTTTTAAATAAAACAGCGTCGTTTTCAATTTTTCTCGATATTTGCACATTCGACAAGTTTCGAATTACGAAGAGAGAAGAGTAGTAATCTCCAAATACACAGAGTCATTCGGGGCGCTGTACTTTGAAAGTAGTTTAATTAACTTCTGCTAATTGGTCGAATAGCTCGGATCGCGCTCGAACACGAAGATAATTCGTAAAAGTACTCCGTTGTTTTTGCTTTTTTGTTTCAAACTGTTCACAGGAAGTAGTTGATTTTCAATGATTTTTCGATCACTCCTAGGTATTTCTCATTGATAGCTAGGTACAAAGGTGGTATGCTATTACCGTCGAGTGCATTTGTATAGTTGCTACTTCAGTATAGTTTGACGTTACATTGAATCATTACTATCAGTTATATGATGTAATTTTGTTTTCTCCCTTTTATTGACTACATAATTCAGATTGACATCCTAATTCTCTTCACTGAACTCAGTAATCTAGCAGGAAAATATAGCAAACTACTGAAAATAACACCGAGCTTGCACGTGTTCAGATTTACGAAGATAATAATAATTTTTAGAATTTTGTGAGTTGTCAGCATGTTATGTTTAACAGAACTGACTATCAATATTGATATCTATAGGTTTTATACGATAATTTAATGTTGAAACAAAAACATTTTACAAAGCAGTTATCTTTCATTTGACATGATTCAATTGACATCATTCGTTCCATGCAAAATTAATCAAAATAATATGCAGTTTTTATCTTTTCAATATATTCTATGAAGTTATAATTCTAAAAAAATAATGGTGAACGAGTATTTGAAGGGCTAAGAAAATTTAATTTTGGAAATAGTCTGACGCATTTTTGTAACTCATATACAAAATAGCTTGCGCAAACGAATCAATTTTTCATGAACTATGCATTTTTAGCAATATCGTACCAGAAATTAGTTTTCACATGCCCACGCACCAGTTACAATTTTTGGTGAAATTAAAATTTTTTTATGCGACAAAAAGTCGACCATTTAGATATATGATGCAATGAGCTCGAGAAAAGGTTCGCTCGCAAGCTCGAGCTAATTTCAAACTAAAACTTGGAAAATATGACTCGCGTGTGTTTTTGTTCATTAGTCGGCCAACCTTCTTCAAAAATAATGTGAAAAAAGCTGCGCAACTAGCAAAAATGTCCCACGTAAATTAAAGCTCAACCATTGATGTCGTTCGTAAAATCGTGTGGTATTGCAACACCTTGTACATTACGACAGGCAAAGCATATCTGATGCAATGTTTCATTCCGGTTTGTGCTTTCAAAAATAATCTTAATATTCTTATTGCGAAGGTACAATTCTTGAGCCGTTGAAAATTGTTCAAAATGCAACTAAAATTATAGATCACTGACCAAAATAATAGTTATAAATTTATAACTAAGGATTTGTCGATCGCATAAATTTTGTAAGTCGTAAATTTCAAAAATATCACCGACGTTTTTTACGTAAATGTTTAAGTCGTTTTGGCACACAAAAATATCGAAACGTGATAAACTGCAGCTTAACGTTGTCGTTTTTTAACTTTTCACTTCATTCTCTGAATATTTACGCCCAAAGTTGCGAGAACTACGAGGTTGCAAGGTGCTCTGATTATTTTTGTATGAAACGCGTAAGTTGAAATATGTCTACTAAACACAATGCAACGAAGTGACTGCACTATTTACATAATTTGATCGCTGCTGATTAAACCAGTACCAAATATCGGTTCACGTTCGAAAAAGAATTTCTCTCTCGTGAGCTCGTAAGCAGCGGGATACAGAGTAAACGCAGGACATTGTACGCGTAGCAAAGAGGCGTCTCCTTGTATCCAGTGTGTAATTGAAAATTTGCAAAGCGTGTGAACTAAACAACCCTTGTACTAGCACCGAGACCCTATACAAGCTTTTAATAAACTTGCTACCCGAGTGTCAGTGTGTTGCATTGTGGTATCGAGAAAAGCTCTCGCTTTACTAGTGTAAACACGAGCGAAAACAATTAAAATCTTGCGGCATTGTTAGGTTCGTGTATATAGGTATATTACTTTCATCGTGTATTTGTAAATGAAATAGCGCATGCGAAAGCGTCGTTTATTCGTGTGAGCGTGGAAAATACATGCATAGCGTTCGATGAATTCAAAAGTGTAAAATATCATAAACACGCCTGTGTATTATGCTCGTGAGATGATTTATGTTGTCGGTGGTGGCGACCGCACGGCGCGTATTATAGTGGCTGCGAGACTTAACAAATGCGAAACGCAGGCCCATTTTTCAAATTATCATCGCTTACACACTAGTCGCGTTCGCCTGCAGTATACATGTATTTATATTCGCTTCGTGGCTGCGGCAAACAATTCAAGCAGTGGCGGCGCTTACGATCCAAAAGCTCGAGCGACGATTGCCAGCCGCATATGATTTCATCGATGATCCGAAAAAAGCTCGGTCGGTCGGTCGCGCGCGCGCGCGAACTACAACGATAAATCGATAGAATTCCAATTTCTGCAGCTACACGACGTGGCTCCGAAAAACACTTGATTAAAAACTCGATGTATATCATGCGGGCATTCCGCATAGGCAGCAGGCCGATAAGGCCTATAACAACGTTTCAATCTAATCGCGCGCAATTACTTAGGTCGACGATCAGCAGCAGCGGGCAGCTGCGGATCTTTTTCCTTTCTTTATTATTCGCTTTTTTTTATGTCTCTCGAGTATATGGCTCAATCAAAAGCTTCCCAATGGTCCGAGAAAATCTATAAACCTAAAGTGTCGTCCTTGTGTATGCGAGCGCTCCACATATAGGCATGTATATATATAATAAACGACGACGTCGCCATCGTCCCTCGACGTATCCGTTTTCATGAGGAGCCCGTCGATATAATTCCGCTGAGCACGAACAACAGCCATACATTATTCCCCAAATCGTAAATTACAATCAGTACTGCTTGGCTACCGTATACAGTACGTGTTATTATGCGATAGTTGATTTATATTACATAATACACATACTCGCGCACGTTGCGCTGCGCATCGCTGCCCATATTCGGCGTTAGATATACGCACATCATCCTCCACGTTCATTCACGCGAGAGGGATGATGCTCACTCGAAAGAGAAGAGAAAGAGAGAGAGAGAGAGAGAGAGAGAGGGGCAGAGAAAGAGAGGGAGGGAAGAAAAAAACGACAGGTTCGATCTGTAGCTCTTTTTATTTCCAAGAGCTTGCACGCTTGCAAACGTAATTGTGACAAAGGCGCTAATCGATGATTCGATCGACTGTGCATTCTTCGGCCGTTTGTATTGTCGTGTTTACACTTGCAGCATCGCAAGTTTCTCTCGTTTGCTCTCTCTCGTTCTCTCTCTAGCTGTCCCTCTACGTTCGATGCACTTTTTTTTTATTTTCATTTCGTTAACTTTGCTCAGCTTGCAACGTATACGGGTGAAAAACTGAAGCGAAGAAAAAAAGCTCACTCGCGACGAGCACGTGATAATCTTGAGAGTTTTTCCAAAGTGCGCGCGGATGGGCGGGCGCGCGTGTCAAAAAGATATCGCGCTCGACGCCAAAGTTTTCAGTGCAGCCGAGCGCGTTCGATGAATCGACAAAAGTTAAATTGCGAATTTCGTTTACGCACATGTACCCTAGCTTTATATGCATACTCGGCTAAGAAGAAACGTCTGCGACGAAAGCGTGTACAAAGTCGTAACGTCGTCGTCGTCATTGCCATCGAGAACTTTGCCGAGGCGTTCGAAAGTGCAATTTAATCAAAATCCGCCAGAGCGAAAGGAGGAGGATCGGGCTGCAGCTCGGCAACACGAGGGCGCAACAGCTGCAATCGATAATTGAATACCCAAATATGTCTATGTAGCTAGCAGTATATAGCAATATCGATGCATCTCCTATTATTGGTAGAGGTAGTTCCATTGATCACGAAAAAAGAAATTTTTCCTCCTCCATATAGACGTAGACGTATACTGATTCGAGCCCCGTAGCAGACCTATTGCCCCAAATAGTTTTTCTCTAATTCTGTCGGGGTTGTGGTGCGCCTGTCGGAGGCCTCTTCATCATCCCTCCCCTGGCGCACGATGAACACGCAGAAAAAGGAAAAGAAGACATCGTAGGGAAGCTCATGGGGTTGTCAGGCGGCTATAACACACGGGTATAGTCGTACTACACGAAGGCAGTGGCGGCGGCAGCAGCAACAGACAAGAGCAAGAGCGAGAGAAACGGGGGAGAGACTAGGAGTCGAAGCTCCGAGCGAGAGGGAGAGAAAGAGAGAAAAAGGAAAGAGGATCGATGCCGATGTGATATTGCGCCGTCGCGCTGTAGTTGCCACGCCGCCGCGCAACGCAACGCAGCGCGCAGCGTACGTAGGCACCGCCGAGAGGCAGGCGGAGAGAGCGAGTACCAACAGGTTACCAGAGGCACACACATAGGCACGAGCTGGCTCTTGTGGGGAGAGAAAAGCCAGCTCGAGTCTCGCGCGCGCGCCTCTCGCTCCGTTCTCCCTTTCAGTCTCGATCGAGCTTTCGAGCCGAAAGCACACGCGAGCACGCACCCACGCGCACATAGGTACTTACGCGCGGTCGCGCGCGTCAAATCCGTCGTGCTGCTGCGCGACTCCCGCATGCCGAGAGAGCGTCACAACAGAAGCGGCAGCAACGCTCGATCTTGGCCACTGGAATTTTCTGCTTTCGTTCTCTCGACCAAACATCGCCTACGATGAGAGAAATCGCGTTCTACCCCGAGATGAGCGTCAATCGAATTTCGTATCGACGATAGTTTGACAACTGTAGCGCGCGCCTCACCGCCTTCAGCAGCAGTGCAAAGTTTTTATCGCTTTCGACAAAAGATAAAAAAGCTCTCGCGTATCGCAGGCATAATTCTCTATCGTTGTTTAAAGATTCTCGCATACAGTACTGCTTATCTAGCGCTGTATCTAAAACATTGCTCGTTCGGTTTTGTTGGAGTTTTTGTTGAAAATAGTAATATAAAATCGAGTGTTTTCATCGAGCCATGGCCACCGCTGAACAGAGAACAGGTGAGTGCTATAAGCAGACTTTATGTATACACAAATACTCGTGGCTGGCGAGGGTAGGCTGGCTTAGAGAGATGAAAGCTCCGAGAGCGAGAGAGAGCCGGAAAAGGGGTTGGTCACGCAGCGGCCGGTCGCCGAGCGAACGAGCGCGCCAAATATTCCCGTGTTTTATTAAAGTCTGTGGGTGGCTGTACGTGCGCTACCGAGTCTCCTACAATATATAACGCGTACATCCTCGAGTTGCTATACAGATATAAAGATCCGGGTAAATTATAAGCAGAAGAAGCGAGGGCTGCCGCTCGCTCGCGCGCCTTTTGTCAGTCGGCGAATAAAAGTTTAATGTTCCCGAGCTTCGTGCGCTCTCCCTCTCTTTGTTGTTGGTAACTATATTCATGGATGGCGCATGTATGTTTTATTCACAAGTCCGTGTGTACCTCGTGTAGTCGTGTGTGTGTGTGTATGTGTGTGCCTTGTACATATGCACGCGTCCATGGGTGATATATTTATACACTCTGTGTGCGCGAGCTGGCGCAAAAGTTTATATGCACGTACGTGTACGCCGCTGCCGTGTGTGGGCGTAAAAGAGAGAAGTTGAATAAACTCCCCGGCCCGCAAGTAATACATAAGTATAACGCGCGCGTAGCGTCGAATCTTTACATATATGCACAAACTCGGGCATTATATTACTCCATACACGCGAGCCTCGTCGTCGTCGTCGTCGTCGCGCGCCATAAGGTCGATCAATTATTTATAAGCGCGCGAGTCGTACAGCCAGCGCATACATCGGCGCGTTTAGCACAAAGGGATGAAATTATACACGCGCATTAATGTATGTATCATCGCCGATTCTCTAATTGTTACTCATTTTTCTACGTATAAAGTTTATAATTTCCCGCGAAAATTAGACCCTCCCTCGCGCCCCATTCTGCGTTATAACCTACCGCAACGACCCTTATTTCACCCCACGATTAAAGTTCAATTTTTTTCTCTCTCCATTGTTCTCGTGTTTTTCTATGAAAATGAAAAAACCGAGCTGCTGTTCTCTCCACCCTCCTATAGCACTGACGCAATAGAGCCATTATTTTTCTTGCATCGACGTGCGTTTGTATTATGTATACGTAATCGGGGAAAAAGGGCCACATCAACGACAGAAACGTTTTTACGCTACTGTGTACAGCTGCCAAGAGCTGTGAACGCGAGTGCAATATACATGTGTGCGGCTGCGATACGCGCCTGTTCTGTTTACCTGCATATAGTTGTTATAAAAGCTCTCGGCTGGAGAGAGCGAGTGAGAAGCGATTGCATCTCGCGTGCTCGCTCACTTACCGCCTCGCAGTATAACGTCACACATGTACATACACACACGTACACACGTATACACACTTGGAGCTTGGGTGGCCTGTGGGGTAATAGATCCCTCTCCTTCTTCAGCTACTTCTTACGCCATGCACGTGGAAAATTTCGTCGGACATGTGAGTAGTGGCTGTATACGAGACGCGGCAAAAAGAAACGATGCTCAATAGGCTTGTGCTAAATATCGTCAATTCTGTGCGAGGTACAAAAAAAGAAACGTACGTATATGTACGCTTATGAAAGTCGACGATGAAAGCGGTTGGGGAAAGGTCACCTTGCGCGCACGCGAATGACAAATGACCTCTGACAATTTACAAGAGTGAGAGAGCAAAAGCTGCAGCAGCCGTCCAGAGAGACCAGAGCACACGAGCGCGTCGCATCTCTCTTGTCTAGTGTATATAAATTCGGGTGTACGGATGGCGCAATGCCGATTCGCAGCTTCATCATATGGTACAGCAACAATGGCTTCGTACAAAGTTCAACTCATCGATTTTTCATCTCTAGCTCTCTCCTTCTCTCTTTTTACGCACATATATGCTCCGCAAGCACTCGTACGACGTTCATTAAGCGTTTGTTAAATCGCAGAAACTTCAACGGCATAAATCCAAAAGCTTGTCGACTTATTCCGTAAAACTTGAAAAAAGTGGCACAAACGATGTATTTTTCTCTCTCTTTCTCTCTTTCTGCGAACTTTGACGCTTTCCGCGTGTACATTATTATTTATATACGCGCATAAACTCGTCGCTAACAAGTGTTGCGAGTAAAAGCTTTTGGCTAATTACGAGACGTATTTGCTTTCGTGCTTCGAATCACTTAACTTATTTTCGAAACTTATTAATACATCTTACTGTATGTCCCGTACGTGCAGCATTAAGGTACACATACATGCATGCATGCATAATGCGTTGTAATTTATAATAGCTAGAAAGTTTTACCAAGCGCGATCTCTCTGTCTCTCTCTCTCATTTTCTAGCTCTCGCGCGCACGAGCGCGTTTGTATATTATATTGGCTTATATATTGTGTATGTACGTCGACGTCGACGCTGAAAGCTCGATATATACTCGTGAGCTTGCAAGCTCGTCTCATTGAATTAACAAGTTTGCGTTGGGCGCTCAGCACATATAATATCGAGCGCATATATATACGCATACAACAGTGCGTAATGCGTATGCGATAGGTTCAATTTTGGACATGGAACCCGTCGATACACGCGATACTTCTCTCTGCGTGTTTTACAAGCAAATTTTTTAATTTCATTCAACTTTGCCTTCAAGAAGTTTCCTTCATATTATTTTTCACCTTCACCTAGGTTGGTAGACAACTTTTTTCTTTCTCCCTTATCTGGCTTCCTTTTTTTCCTCTCTCTCTCCTCCAAAGCAATCACAGATAGGGAGAGAGAGAGAGGGAAAAGAAGAAAATGAGACAACGTAAAAAGAGGAGCTTGAAATTGGCTGCATTTATCTAGCAATGCATATGCAAATATACACGTCTCACTAAGCGCAAAGCGCAAAGCTAAACACGCCGGTGTGGAAACGGCCTTGCCAACGAAATAATAATATTAATAATGATCATTAGCCATTTTATTAGCCACCCGGTCGCTAAACGACTTTGTAATCAAGGAGTGCACTGCAGCCGTTATTCGGGCGCGATCGTATACATGTCGTCACGAGACGATGAGCCGAGTGTACACAGACAAAATGAAGGAGGGAAGAAAAGGGAGGATATCATTGCGCGTTGCAGTGCACTTTGGCGTTATAATAATAAAGTTTATTAATACGACGGACAATCATCTCGACGACGAGCAGCGGCACGGAGAAAATAAAGCTCGTAAATACTGACTATGATATCATGCATGAGTTGTTGGCCAGTGTATTCGAGCCACAATAGCCTGTTTGCAGGCACTCGATTAAAATTTTGTTTGGTGACCTATCACTGCTGTAAGCATCAATTTCGGATATTGCGCGCAAATAATAAACAATGAGCATTGTCGTATAATGAGCGAGCTGACGCGTGAAATTTTATGAAAGCTCACGTACGTGCACTGTGTACTCAGTGGGTGTTTGGTAATATAATTGGGGATATAAAAAGCTCACGAAAGTTTGCTTTATATCGAATTTAAAACTCGCGAGTCGAGAGCGCATTGCATACTATATATAATACATTATACGTCCCGTCGTTCCAGATTTAACATCGAGATACATGCGCTGTCTGTATGCGCGTATTTAGCGAGTGTATACACTGTTCTGTGTACCTATATTGTATATACGTGCGTGCGTGGGCGAGCTGCACGAGTCTGTGCACTTGGAAATTCAAATTTGCTTCGTATCTGCGATATGTATAGGCTTCTGTTTAACATGCTGTGTTTCGCTTTCGTTTATATCTTCTGTCGTACGTACGTGCGACGCTCAAACCACTGGGACCTTTGCACTGTGAAGTTAAAAATCGTCGACAGACAGGTCGAACGACTATACGAGCACATGCAAGAGATTCGATCTTAAACGCTATACTTTTTTCCTTAAAAAGAAATAAAAGAGAAGGACCGCGATTACGAATTTATGGAATGCTCGATCCAGCTGCAATTATCGACCAACTACTCGGAGAATTACGCGCCGTATCGACGTATGCTAGCCTCCCTTGCACGCAAGCTCGTCATGCATGACGCAACAAAAGCTCAAGACTGTGCAAGCATGCCAAGCTCGGCTTGTACGCGGCACGCGTGCGATCTTGGATTTTTGCGAGCAATGTGAATCGTTCGCGCGCCGAGTACAACCAGTCGAGAATTCATCATTCGACTGGTTGCTCTTTCGGATCGCTGCCGCATTACACACGCGTTAACAAGACGCTCGTGGGCAAAACATACATAATATAGGCGCCAAACGCGATGATCGCACGCCGAGCTTTCGTCGGACACGCGCGAGGCAATTTCGCTCGCGCGCGCTCGTTTTATTGGATTTTGTAATATGCGCGCCGACGACGTATTGGGGATTATAACCCAATTGATTTATGTCACGCGCGCCACGCACACACACTAATATAGCAGCGCCAACACGTGTATCGCAATGATTTCATTAGACTTTTCTACTTTATTTTACATTTCAAAAATATCGACGCTTGGCCAATATAAAAAAATTTGATTAAGCGCAATTCGTTGGAATTTTTTAGGACGTTATATTTTTAGAGCTGCGCTTTGTCTCTTTCTCTTTCTTTCTCTCGAAATTCAGAGATTTGCACAAAAAAATGCGAGAAAAAAGAAAAAAATGTATCAAGCTAAGCGCGCAGAACGATAAGATAGGGCGTACTTACGTACGAGCAGGAGAAGCAGCAGCAGCGCTCGATTCTTAGCTTCGGTATAAATTGTCTTTTGCGCTAGAAAGCCACAGAACAGCAGCTCACAGCGAGGGTATAATGATTTCCCCGAGGTGCCTTTGCTTGGGTCTCGAGCTATACACGCGCATACACCATAATATCAGCCTGACATGGATAAAAATTAGGTGCTTATAATATGTATACCACGTAGCACGTCAGTCCTATAGGCCTCTTGGCTGCGCGTCCACGAGAGATACGTGCATGTATAAAAATAAGAGCTTCGGCCGGCCACGAGCGAGCTCGGCTCTTTATGCTTTTTATTATATTATAACGCGATACGCACTGCCATTTCCAGATAAAACTTTTTCTGCTTTAGAGAATTTCCACGGCCACAGCATGAATAAAACATGCGATTTGGCTATATACATATGAGATGTAGTGTACATTTATATACACAAAGCCGAGAAGCTCGCTCGCGGAGGGGCAGGTATACACATACGACCACGAGCGAAGTAAAAGGAAAAAGCAACGATAAACGTTGCTTGCACGCGCGACGGACTGTGTACATTCGTTTCCCGTATGAATTGAGCGTATATCGTTGTGCGACGTGCGACGCGATATCGAGGCGCACAATCAATCGTAAATAAGGATGGAACGTAATAGCGTTTGCAAAAACTTTTCACGAGGCCTGTGTACGCATCGATGATCGGTGTTTGCCACACGCGGACACATTTTCAATTCGCCGTTCGGACAATAATTCGGAACATTCATGAGTATGTGCGCATCCGGTATGTACTCAAATTCGCCCTCGCGCGCTTTATTGAGTAACAGAGAGAGAGCGAGAGAATAGAAATAGATTTATTTTTCATTCCCAAGCCCCGATAAATCAGCGAATTTCGAGCACGTACAGCTTGAAGTTTCCGCGATAAAATCGACGAAAAAATAATATCGTAAAAGCCTTGGCTCAGCGTTCCGTGTGCCGACCGTAGCACGTGTTATATTCCGGCCTATATAGAGCTTTTATTTACTCGAGTCCAGGATTTGCGCCCGCCCCGCAAAGGGTCAACGTTCATAAATTTAATTTTTGAGCCACTTCTTGCTCGACGTCTTTCTTAATCCTTTCCATAACTGCGCACCGTGAGCTAAGAAAGACGCCCGGCCTCGAGCTACCGTTTACGAAGCCGCGGCATGAGGCTGTCGATAAACATCGTCCCCCTGTATCGAATTCTATTAAATAGCGCCATATCTCTTCGCAACAAATAATGTTTCGTTTAAATGGCCGCTTGTAAAGTGAAGCGCACATTGGCAACTTGCCCCATGCACACATATATATACAGAGCTTTTTGAAAAGCGATGCACGCGCGTGCGAACCTGTCTCGAAAGATTAACGTCGCTGCGTCGTGCGTGCGAGCATCGCTGCTCCGGAGATAGAGTCCGACAAAAAGTTTTGCTACTTTTTACTTTTTTTCCGTTTCTTTTTTTTTCTAATTTCCTTTTTTTTTTCATCTTATGTATATGCGCGTGGCAAAGTTTCCTACTTGCGAGCGCGCGCGAACGATAAAGTTAATCGAGTTATGCTCCAAAAGGACATTTTTTTTTTTTTGTAAAAGCGAGTAATCGAGTAGAAATAGTAATCAAGCTAAATTGGCTGATATCAGCGATTCTCGCTGCACTTAATAACAAGCGACTAATCAACGGAAAACTCTAGCACCTCGTATTTTTATCATAATTAGTCGTTACCCCGAAAAACCGAGGTTGGGATCTATAAAGTGCACAGTTTAATTTTCTTCATGCTCTTTCTGTTGATGCAGGCATAAAAATGCTGCCCGCGAGGTACTGCATGGCGATCATGGGCTCGATCGGCATGGCCATCATATACGGCTTCAAAGTCAATCTCAGCATAGCCATCGTCGCCATGGTCAATCACACCGCCGTCAAGGAGCTCATGCACAACCAGAGCCTCACGAACGCCACGTTCAAGGTAACGAATGCACACGAAATTATAACGGGACGAATCGACGATCGAGCTCGCGCAGCCCACAGTAATAATATTTAGCGATTCGAGCGGCGCTGGCCTTTGAAGGCGCGAGCTTTTTGACGTATGCGCATTTTGCACCCTTCAGTTGGCCGCAGAAATTATACAGGAAATCATTGACATCTGCGCTCGCTTGCGTGCGGGGCAGCGAGAAATGAAATCAGTTATTACGAAATTATCATCAAAGCTTTTAAGCGAAGCTCGCTCGCGCCAGCAGAGTGGCAGTAGCGGAGCTTGCGGCTATTTTCGGAACGGAAAAAGGAATATATTCGATGATATCGTTTTTCAAATTACTCGCTACCGTACGTGCAGCACGTATGCAACGCCGTTTTAGAATGGCACTCGAGAGCTTTTCAATCGCGTGCGGTAATTGCCACGGTACTATATATTATATTCTCGACAACCGACGCGTACAGCTATGCAACCGAGCACCCGACAATTTTGTCCTCGCATATATATGATAATAATTTCGCGTATCCATCGTGGGCGAGAAACATCGAGGATCGAATAAAGAAAAGAGGAAGAAAAACGGCATCGTCACTTGACAAACGATCTTGTATGTAAGGCGATCTCTCGGAAACAAGCTCGTGCGCGGAAAAACATACGTTATACATCGAAATCATGCTTTATGGCTATTCATCAAAGCTGCTGCATTATATATATACATAGGCGTGCGATGTATCTCCGCCACGATGTGTGTAAAGTATAAAAGCACATCGATCAGAGCCTCGATCGCCTCAGCTCGTCTCGTATTATACCTACACGACTGCGACGTACGTATACAATACACAAGATGGTTTGTTTGTTTTGCGGCGCGGGCAGATGGCCAATTTGAGCACGACAACAACGGCGAGACCGCGCGGCTACGCAACGACCCCCAGGAGCTACTACTCGACGACGACGAGCAAATACAACCTGACGGGCCTGAGCTCGTTGACGTCGGCGTCGCAGCCCGAGATCGACGGGCCCTTCGTCTGGGACGAGCACCAGGTCGGCATCATACTGGCCTCGTACTTCTGGGGCTACCTGGTCTCGCTGATGCCCGGCGGCATGATGGCCGAGTACCTGTCCGCCAAGTGGGTCCTCATGGTCTCGGTGCTGCTGAACGTCGTCGCGTCCCTCCTCATGCCCATCGCCGCCGAGATGCACGTGGCCAGCTTCATCTGCATGAGGATCATCCAGGGCATCGGCGGGGTGAGTCACTCTATTATGCCACGTCGAAGCTCGCTCGGCATTTCTTTCTCGATTGAAATCGAAAAAATATATATCTAAATTATGGCGCGCTTGTGCTGCATGTTATACAGGGTGTCAGCTTCCCAGCTATTCACGTTATGGTGGCCAAATGGGCGCCACCGAACGAGCGAAGTATTCTCGCCTCGATAGCTTACGCCGGTAAGTACATTCACGCTGAGCCATATTAACGGCATAAATTTCAATGCTGCTGCGTTTGCCTCGGCATGCCTATATTATATACTAACATGTCGAATGCACGACGTATCCTTCGACACGTGAATACGCGCGTATGCATCGGCCAAGATCTCTCGGTATTATATCGCCTCTCGACGTATCTCGAAATTGAAAATACCTCGAGTTTTTTATATTTCCACGTTATAAGCAGGCATCGAAACGTTGATCATTTTTCACGCGTTCGCATATGAAATATCGCGTGGCATGTATCGAAAATGACTTCCGAAAGCTGCGAACGCAGACTCCTGCTGTGGCGTTTCGTACATCGACTTATCGAGCGAAATGGCCGTATTTTCCTTAACGATCGAATTTCCCGCAATCTCCGATAAAACAGAGCGCGCACACATAAGGTGAGCCCGCTCGCGAGAGGATGCTCCTTTTGAGCGATAAAAAGCACGCCGCGCTGGCAGCGTCTCAGTCTGTGTGGCTTAGATACGTGCGCTTTTACTATTACTCCCTCTTCCTCCCATTTTCTTCTTCCTCTTCTTCTGCTACTTCTTCTTGCGCTTCTGGCACATATAGCGGGGCAAGAAAAAAAATTACGCGCGGCGCATCGTGCGCTGCAGTCCGCGAGCTCTCCTCGTATATACATCCGAGTGTTATACTTCCTCGCGGCGCGTTCGCGGATGTATAAGTGGTTCACGCTCTGCTTCGGCTCGTGCACACTTGTTACTATAGAGACTTTTGATGCGTCGACTAGCTGTAGCTATGCTCCGCGCCTATTATTCAACGTAATTTCTTCTTTTGCATCGGCCTCTCCTCCTCCTCCTGCTCTCGTCCACGCGCGCGGATATGACTGGCTACAGGCACGGCGCTCGGCACGGTGATCTCGATACTGCTCTCGGGCATGATAGCGGCGACTCTCGGCTGGAAGTGGGTCTTCTACGTCGAGGGTCTGCTCTGTCTCGTCTGGTGCATCGCTTGGGGATTCATGATACAGGACTCGCCGGAGCAGCAGCGCTGGATCACCGATGAGGAGCGCGAGTACATCATGATGTCACTGGGTCACAACAAGGACAGTCACAAGATGGTGAGTGGCGATATATACGAAACAAACAACAACAAAAAACAAAAAGACGCAAAGTTTTATAGTTCGCTCGAGTTTTATTAGCGAGGGAAAATAACGAAATAAACTTTTTTTCACTACCAAGTCTTTTTACGTCCGGTACTCTCGTACTTTATACTTTTAAGACCTTGTATGAGGCGTCGACGTAATAATTTCCTGGGAAACTCTCTAATACTTTTAATCATTTCCAAATGTTAAATCATTTTCGTCGCTTTCCAACATTTTTATGATATTAACTGCACTTAGCGTTAGGACATCTTCGAAAAAAGGAGAACTCAAACTTATTTACAACTTTCAAAAAAGCTCTTAGAACTTTACGAAAATCAAATTTGACGACTGCAGTAATGTCTATTTTTCGATTGTAATAGTAACTACAATGATTATTCGTAAAAAATTTCTTTAATTTATAGAGATTTACTTCAAAAAATGTTCTAGAACATCAAAAAACTTGTTTTTTTTTATTCAATTTGGTAAATTTTGTCGAGGGAAATGAAATTAATTGCATAATTAATTCATAATTGGCGTTTACTCGTGTTATTTTCGGCTAATGAATTCCACTTGAAGCCATTATAAGGTCGCATACATTACCCTGCGAATACCAATGCGACATTGTGGCAGTGGGATAACTCTGTAGCAAAACTTTTTGCTATTCACGAGCGATCAGTTGAGTTTATTTGCATAAATCATTTTGAAACTGCAAAGGACTCGCTTTACAAAACTATTAAATAATTTCAGTTCACGTCGCAACTAATGTATTTATGGATTCTGTTACAGAAATTGTCGACGATACCCTGGTTTAAAATACTAAAATCGCCACCGTTTCTGGCCATCGCAGTTGCTCACTTTTGCAGCAATTTCGGATGGTACATGCTTCTCATCGAGCTGCCAACTTTCATGAATCAAATATTGCACTACGATCTAACATCGGTAATTGAATATAATGTTTTTAATCAGAAATATCCCGACTAAATTTAATATTCATGAGTTCTGTCCATATTTTTCTAGAATGCCTGGCTATCGGCTCTGCCGTTCTTCTGCATGTGGATATTTACTCTTGGCCTTAGCAAACTGCTCGCCATTATGCAGGACAAAAACTGGATATCTGTCACGGTGTCGCGAAAAATCGGCACCCTATTTTGTAAGTTACCAATAGGCCTGCTCGACTATTATACTCGCAGAAGTTAATCAAGAATGTTTTTTAATTTATTCCCCAGCATCAGCAGTGCCAATGTTTTGTCTATTGGGTGCTTCGTATGTGAGCGACAAAAACGTGGCGGTGGCTCTAATGACGATCGGCATTACCTGCATCGGCGGCATGTACTGCGGTTTCTTGGCCAATCACATTGATTTGGCGCCGAATTTTGCCGGTACACTAGTCGCGATAACCAATACCATAGCCACAGTACCGGGATTCGTCGTGCCAATCTTCGTTGGATACATTACCAAAGGAAACGTGAGTATATTTAATAATCGCTTCAACAAGTCCATGTCATTATTAACATCATTTTTAATGTCGTATGAAATTTAAAAACATTATTTACAACTTGTACTTTGGCAAATATTTACAGCAAACCATCGAAGCATGGAGAGTAATCTTCTTCATGACAGTGGGCCTTTACATAATAGAGATGCTGATTTATACCATGTTCGGCACGGGCGAAGAACAGCCGTGGAACAAAGTCAAATCGTCGTCATCGCAAGACTCCGAAAGGCCCGAACAGACTGTTCCTCTGAAAGAGGCAAAACATTAATTATTTTATTAATTTAACAGCGACAACAGATAAATATATATATGTGTATGTGTAATGCGATGGAGTATCGAGACATAAGAGATTTTTTCTCATTCCGTCGAAATTGAAAAAAGAGAAGCAAAAATGATAGTAAATGTCCCTCGCCCGCAAAACTTCGTTTACTATACGATATTACAATTTTCATCAATCTCATTATTATAAATATTGACATTCTCACTATTAGCATTTTATATAAAGATTTTTCATAGTTGTACGGTATAGTGTGTACGATAGTATTTAAAATTTTTTTTTACCGATTTAGTATTATACATAACGTACATTGCTCAATAAATAATAGTACAAAAACATAAATAAAAGATATTTACAAATTTGTATTGATGCATTGTAGCTAATATTTACATAGATATATAAATACATATATGAATTGTGCAAAAGAGTATTGTTGTGGGACATTTACATTAGTTAATTATTCAACTATGAGAAATTATGAAAAATTTTAAGACTTGTACTTGTTTACAAATTATATATAAATTATATATTTACAAATGAACCTACACATTAAGTCTACGGTATATAATTTGACTGAATCATTTTAAATATTTTTTCACTTTTTATGAAAGTAAAAACCTAAACGTAATATATTCTAAACAAAAGCAGAACCACAAAGATGAATTATGTATTATATAAATGTTGATTAAAAAATTATAAATATACTAAATTAAATGATTTACTTACAAATTATTTATTGCACTCTAACCATTTTACAAAAGTACATTGGACCCGCGTTTCTACTTTTTGAAGGAACAACAATGTGACCATATCTCAATCCAAAATCTCCAAAATTATATAAATATTTTAAGGGCAGTAGTGCTCTGGTTTGATCTCTGTAAGTTAATTAATTAAATATTAAAATATTACTTTTTAATGGATTTTCCAACAAGTATAAAACTTACTTTACAACAAACACAACATTATGTTCTTCATAAGCTCTTTTAAGTGACATTTGTACAACTCCGTCATTCTGAACAGGACTCAAAGAACAAGTTGAGTAAACCACTGTACCACCAGGTACAACAATTTTTAAGGCATTTCTGTAATTGAATATCAACATTTTTAAATTTAATTGAATGTTTAGTTTTGATTACTCTACTCACACTAAAATTTCACTTTGCAACTGCGGTAGCCTTAATCTTTCTTTAGTTCTAGTTCCTTTAAAAATGTTATTTTCATCTTCATGAAGTACATGTCTATCAGTTGTACAAGGAACATCAACTAATATCTAGACAATAAAGAAAAAAACTTGAGAGATGGTATTTCAAAAAAACTATAATGATCACTTACCTTATTATAAATATTCTGTTCATCAATATGTCTTGCATCACTTTGAGTAAGGAAGAATTTTTCTCTCCAGTCTCCCATATCTGGTAAACATTCCTCTAAAAAGTCATTTATTCTGTTAGTCCTTGAAGTTTGAATATCATTAGCAACTATTATTCGAGGATATAAGGTTTGTAAAGCCATCATTGATTTGCCACCAGGAGCAGCACACATATCTAACATTGTGTCTTGAGGTTGTAGATCAAGTGAGAGTACTGGGAAAATGGAAGCTCCATCAAGGCAAAAATAATCTATCAGAATGAAAAAAAGTGTTTATAAGAAGAACTCAAAATCATTTTTCAATCATTTCATAATGAAATTTTACCTGCAGCGCCTGTTGATCCTGTTTTAGCTTTTGGAAATTTTGAATGATTGCCTTCTTCATAGGTATAAATTTTTAGTGCATCTGGAAAGTTTAATTCAGATTCTTCAACAACTTTAATAGTAAAATCAGAACCTTCCTTGTAATAATTATAATGATCTGACTCCAAAACCCAATCATCCATTCCTGTAAATATAAAATGCATGAAATATTATTGTACTGTTTATTTTTTACTGCATGATTATTATTTTTTTTACCTATTAATTGTTTTGTAGGAACAAACTCAAATAATTGAGAAGATGCGATACCAGATGATGATTGGATTACACGACTTTTATTATCTCCACTGCTTGCACTTGTTTCTATAGATTGAAGTTGAGTCGGTTGGAACTGATCAATAGGTAGTTTCTTTTTTTCTACAGTAGGATATTCATCTTCAGGATCTATTTTTTTATACTTAGTAACCTCTTCTTGTTTTTGAGCGATAATATTTTGTAATACAGTAATCTGATCTTTGGTGTGGATTTCATCATCTTCTTTTAATTCATTGTTTTTCATTGTTGCTTTGAAAGCTTTGTAAATTGCTTTTAAATCTATAGCGCCAATAGTCTAAATTATAAATTAGATAAGTGTTTACGTACAGAAAAAATAATACATAGCACAATACAAATAGGGGATTGAGAATTTACCTCTAATTCTTGACTAATTCTTTCTACATCACTGAAATTATTTACTATAGCGACATATTTGTGTTCTTTATTATTTAGCAAAGCAGACCGTATATTTTTCCAATCTTCTCCATATACTGTTTTATAAAAATCATCAAAATGATCGAGTGCTTTTTGTGTAGATCTTTTTTTTTTCTTCAACACTGACTAAAAATTTGATAAATTGATGAAAACTTGTAATTTAATATTACACATAAATTTGCAAAATTTCTAAGGTAATTTACCCAGTGATGGTCAGGATTTTTGTATCTAACAGGCACTTTGAAAATATTGAACAATTTATGACTCTCGAACAAACGTGTCATTTTGAAAGAGTCACCAAAACAATAAATAAAAATTTTCAAATTCAAGAGTCAAGACAAACTTTTCAATTTTATAGCATTAGGTTATGTTCCATGCTGTATCCAATGATACAACAGTTAGGGACTAAACGGCAAGTGAGTTTAGTGCTTTCTAGAGGAATATCAATGAATGCTAGTTACAAGTTTAAATAACACATTCAAAGAGCAGCAGTAGAAAATTGGTGTGTATCTTTCAAGGAAACGTGCTAAGCAAAAGGAAGAGTGCAAAAAATGGAAATAAATGTCGTGTAATTGTTTGTACATTTGAGTCATAAAAAAAAAGTTTTAATCAGTCTCTTGCATGCACGAACGTGCAACAAAAATTCAAGGAGTAAATTAAGGACATGGTAAATAATTTAAATTCGTCGATGAGAATTGGTACAATTGGAATCATAATCGTAATATGCAGTCCGGCAAATGTTTAGGTGGACGCCCGAGGGCGCGTGCAGCCATTGCATCTCATAGGATCCAGGGGCTCACGGTTCAGCGCAGTCCATGCACCAATCCTTCTTCCCACCTACGCGATCGCGTATATATATAATGTGCAGGCAGATCGGCGTAGTATACCTATATCAACTCTCTCCTCCCACTACTTTTATTTGGCGGCGCGGTAACTACCTGCGCGCAGCTGACTCGTGCTGCGCGCGCGATGATAAAACTGCACACTGCACACACACAAACATACAGGATGTGTATAGAGTCAGGCCAGCCAGGCTCAGGCCGCCGCCGCCACTCGTCGTCTGCATCGTAGTGCATGCAACGCAGTGAGAAAGAAAAGGACGGAGTGATTGAGATCGACCTAACGCTGAAGCCTGGCGTACACACACACACACATATACGTACAAAACGTAGTAGTAGTACATATACTTGCAAAATGGAAACTGACAGCAGCAGCAGCTATACGCTGCTCCGCAGTGTGTACATACAGACGGAAAGCTAAAACGCACGGCGGAGGGGGCCGAGTTTCTACTCTTTCTCTCTGTCTCTCTCTCCTGGCTGCACAGCCCATTGTTGACACTAGTCCTTCGCGGGCGGCCAATGTAGTCGGCTCGACTCGCTCGTACTCTCTCCCGCAGCAGCTCCTTTTTTTTCGACGCTCTTCTCTTTTTTTTATCAATTTTTTTTGCGCTCCCGCATACATCTCGCTGCTGAAGCTCGGTGCACGCCGCCGACAAGTTTTTAAATTTTCCAGTGCGATCGTCACGTTGCAGGGGCTGCGAGAATATAAATTGCACCCCAGTACACAGAAGATCGAGTGAAATTACGACGACGGCGGCGGCAAGCAGAGCACGGAGCAGCCCGCAAGTTTGAAAATTTTCGGGGGCAAACGCACGCTTCGCGTCGTGCGAGTGGCGTGCAGTGCACTGCAGTGTATATAATATAGAAACAAACGAACGTATACGCAAGTGTTTATCTCTCGGCATTCGCGTAGTGTTGTTGTTATTGTTGTGTTGCGCGGCCAAAGTATACATAAAAGATATATATTGTGCATTTACACACGTACTCTCTTTTTACTATACACGATACGCTGCTTCTCTCTCTTTCTCGTACACAATACAATGTATAGCTTTCGCGTCAGCTAAACTACACTCCAAGTGCAACAGCAGCAGCAGCAGCATCATATACCTTATACATGTATAGGAAAGCATCTACGTGATACGCGTGTGTGGGTTAGTTCTGTGCCTGTCTGTGTTGTGTGTGTCTATATTGTGCTAAAAGGAGAAAGAGAGACGCGATGCAGCCGCGCTCCATATTGATCCTCGGCCAGCTTCGATGATGTCGATGATGCTCCTCGATTCGAGATAACGACAATAACAACAGACTGGCACGCTCTTGGCCTTTTTTCCTCGTTTTGCCCTTTATTTTTCTTCTCCTTGTTCTTTTGTTATGACAACATGTGGTTGCAGCCACGAAGCTGACTGTGCACCAACGCAAGAGGGCCAAAAGGGAAAAATAAATAAAAAATACAGCAATCAATCGAGAAGGTACGTAGTAATAATTGTACGCGCGCTCGTAGTAACTTTTCGAGTAGTCGGTGATACGTTCGAATGCATCGTCGCGCTCCTTTCGCGGTTTTTTTATTATTGCAACAACTTATTGATTCTTCGCGTGCCCAAGCCTATCTACATCTACTTTTTACTTCATTTTATGTTATGTGGCTGCATTTGTTCGCGTGCACCCGCGAAGAATGACAATCGTGTATCGTCGAGTAATATTTGGCGCGAGCAAAGCTAATGTCATACGAGCACATGACAATGTACATCATAATTAACGATCGAATATCAATGACACACATACAGAGAGTCGTGAAAATGAAAATATTGTTAAGCTCGGCGCGTAGGACAGTAAATATTATAAATATACGTGTATATCGACGTTGTATGCACATAAATCGAACCCACTGGCCGAGTGCATATACCTATGTTGCATGCTATATAGGTGTATGTAACGTAAGTGCGTCAGAGTACAAACCGCGACTTAGATTAGCGGTCTCTTTCTCGTTCTCCCTCTCTCTCTCTCTCTTGCTTTATGGTTTGTGTTGTTTTCTGTGCGTAATATGCACGCCGCGTTATACCTACATAATATTATGGCATACATCCTATATGGCGTGTGTGTAGCTGCTCGAGTATCTACAGTGCATATTGTATGTATATACGCTTACGCCTACGAGCCATGGACTGGGCGTGTGTTATGTTAACGTTCCCGTGTGGATGTGTGTGTACCTTTTGGACGACGTCATAGAAGGAGTTGCTATTACCGTACAGCGTGTGTCGAGTGCACGTAACGCACTTTACGAATGCACTCGTACGCACGGACACACACACATCTACACACGCACATCCTACACGAGCCGTGTGGCCGTGCGTGCGGAGCGCGTAAAGAGAAGGTAACAAAAACGAGAGTATATGAACTTTTCTCTCTTTCTCTGCGTGTGTGCTCGTGCGTATACAACGTTATAACGCCCTCGTGTCTCTTTTGCTTTTGTTTTGGCGGTTTTTTTTTTTCATTTTTTTAATTTCATACTCTACGACTTTTTGTTGTTGTTGTACTCTATCCTTAGGCCGAGTTCGTTTCATGCTCGAGAACGTAAGCGCGCTTTGTGCTGCGAGGGCGATCTCGTTCAACACGCATCAACACGGAAATTGATTTTCTGCGTATAAACAATGTGAATAACAATAACGAACGAGGAGAAAAAAGAAATGAAAAACATAATAAAAAAAGCGGGGGGAATAAAAAGATCCTCGGTATGTTCAAAGAAAAAAAAGTGTCCGCTAGAAGATTCGCGACTACTCGGTCAATACCGTGTGTTTGGATATGTCCTATGTATTACATGTATACGCTCGAGTACGCGCGTTATATATATGGATTTAATTCGCGAAAGGGTTAAGGTCAGTTAAAGCCTTAGCGGGGGATGCTCGTCGAGGCTATTACTGCCGCACGTCTGTGATCCTATACAAGTATACGCGTCACGTACATTAATTCAAGAAATCCTCATCGGAAAGATCAAGTGAAAAGACGATGTTTATATTATAGATACGCGCGGCGCGATATTTTTATCTATGAATGCATAATGAACTATTACAAGACGAGAATCGGCGCGAAGCTTATTATACGACGTGCATTTATTATGCAGCGCCAAAGCGTTAGAGCGCAAAGTGCTGCTCTCGCGGAAGTAGCCGACCTGCCTGCCGCCGAGTCGCCGCCGCCGAGTATAAAAGAAACAGATCGATACCAACGATTTCGCTTTGCCTCGAAATTTTCTGCGGGAAAATTTCTCTGCGACCTTTCGACGCGTTCGGTCTTTTTATTTTCTCTTTGCATTATTCATTTTTATTTTCAATTTTACATTTTCAATTAAGCTCGAGTTTCGGGAGTTCAACACGAACGAAAAATCTGGATTTTACAAAATCATTTCGGATCTAGGAAATCCCTTCATCGTGCTCGAAATATTTTACGTTTTTGACATTATCCGTTTTTATCACTCTATACTTTCGTATTCTATATGGTTTTTAATATTAAAAACTTCATTAACGTTTGTTAGATCAAAAGTAGTCAATGTAAATAAATAATTATAATCCTTTGATAATGTTTAGATCATTTCGAAGGGTTTTGTTACATTCTAAAATATTTTAAAAAAGTTCAATTGTTCGATCGCGTTTAACGTTCGAAAGTTTAGATTAATCATTTTCACACGTCACGACTGCTGCTGCTGCAGCATCATGCCGATAATACCTCGATATCGATTTTTCGCCGTCACCGCACAGTCCATGTCCCTGAATGCAATGTACCTGCGTGTGTGCGGCACGTCGCGAAAAACGTCATCGGCGTGCACACGCGCACGCGTTGATTGCATATAAATATATAAGAGCTCATTTTTTTTCATTTTTCACTTTTTTACAATTAAGCGAGCTTTCTGAAAAAGCCAGCCGCATGCGTGCTTTCTGTTAGCTCGCTCGCGTACTATACGTATACGTATATTATGCACTTTCGCGCGCGTTCTTAAAATAAATTATGTATACGCGCACTCAATTTTCTATATCACTAAATCCGGGTTATGTATACAGATGTGCGCGTACGTAAGCGGAGGGGAACTCCTACTGCGAGTAAAAAGAAACCTGGCGTGAGGTAAAAAAAGAAAACTGTCAATTCGTTTTGAAAATTATTACGCACAAGTAGTGCTGCTACAGCGAGCACGCACCAATCGTTTTTATTCTCGACGCTTCGTTTTTATTCGTGACAACTGATTTCAAAAAGTCACGTTCTATCATTCTGTACAATTTTTGAGCTCGAATGCGTTGACTTGTTTTACCGAAATTTGCATTTCAACAATATATACGGAAACATTTTTAAAAAAAAGTAGATATTTTTTTCACAACGATTACTGGTCGATAGTGAGCACGATATAATGATCCGAGAAAATTGGTTCTCACTGGTATTGTATCTTGAGGATTTTCGATCGCAGCATCTCGGGCGATCGGACATAATGTTCCGTGTGAGCTAGCTAAGACTAAATTTAAAAGCGCACAGAAATCTTGCAAAGGCGTCCATTGTGCACTCGGTGCAGAGAAAGAGAGAGAGAGAGAGAGAGAGAGAGCCGAGCATGAGTGCAGTTGAGCTGCAGCACCACACTAACACATACACACAAAGCATTGAGGCAACATCACGAGGGAAAAGAGACTTTTTATTTGCGTCTGTGTGAGAGCGTGTGGGTACATATACAAAAAGTCTCTCTATATCTGCGAGCAACACACGAGCTGTAACTCGAGAGAGTGAGCGAGTAAAAGAGAGAGAGAGAGAGACTTGTAGATAGGTACGGCCATAGTATATATATACAGGCTCTCGTTATGTGCAGCAGCAGCAGCGTCACGAAGCGCAGTAAGCAACAAACCTCCATAAGCGCAAAGCAAGCCACGAGCGCGCGACTTACTATATACTATCGCGCGTAGTAGTCGTACTCGTACGTAGTAGTAGCGTAGTAGTATAGTAAAGTTTGCCAGTTCGCGCTGCGCCTTGCTGCACGGAGAGCGTGTTATTATATATACAGATACATACTCTCGAGCACACATATACTCACACATACACAGAGAAAGAGAGAAAAAGAGAGAAAGAGAGAGAGAGAGAGCAATGGGCTAAAGGAGAGGGGCCTTCGCTTTCATTCAGTTTATCGCGTGGCCAGCATCGCTCGCCGCTGCCGTATAAGCTTTATACCATGCATTGTGCATATAAACTTATATGCACCTCGCGAGTGCAGCAAAGCACACAACGCATATATATATCTCACTGTATGTGTGTGTGTGTGTAAGGTACGTTTCTGTGTCTGTCTGTCTCTCTGTATAAGGTTAATGCGCAAAAAGCAACGGTACTTTATGCGCCGAGCTCGACTCCGGCTATAATACATATCCGAGCGCAAAGCCAGCTTTTTCGCTGCCATAAACAGACGAACGAGATAGAATATAAGAAACGCCTCGTTATTATTTATTTAACTTGAGCTCGCGTCTACTATATACGTACGCGCGGCCTAATGTAATGCTCGACTCGCTTATGTATATACGCACTTTATCTCGAAACTGCGCGATTCTCTCTCTACTTTGTGCCGAAAGGCGATTTTTCCGAGCCGATGGGATCGGCTTTTCCGACCAAAGCTCGAGCTGAAGCTAAAAAGCTCGGGGATTACTTTCTATATTATATAGCTGCGAATGCGCACGTGGAAACACCTGTATATATACAAACAAGTTTTTCATATTTAATTAAGCAGCCGTAAAACGAACGAGCGATAACAATGCACGTGACTGGGCTAATTCGACGCGGCGTTGTGCACGTGTATCCTACGTATAAAGTGAGGCGAGGCGAGCTAACGCGTAGCATTATTGCAAATGTTACCCAATTAAGAATAATCTCTGTATGTTGTTGAATTTAGATTATTATTTAAGCTCGTTATTATTCTTCGAATCGAGCTAATTCGAATTAAAATTATAAGTCGATCGCGCGTGCTTAACGCGGATGTTCGGGAGAATTTTTTCATCCTTTTTCAAATACACGTGCTTGCACTTGCGTATACACATAAAAGTAAAATGGACTATCTTAAATACAAAAATACGCGAACGAGCTTTTTATTTATCCTTGATGCAATTTAACTTTTAATGAAAAAATTAAAACCCGCATCCAGCGAATGAAAAAGAAAACGAGCGCGAATTATATTTCCCTATATAGCGTATAAGCTTGTACGTAGCTTGAAAATAGAGCTAAAAATTTTACATAACGTTGCACGTTATACATGCTTATAGTGCATACACGATCGAGCGTCTTGTGTACGCGAAAAACTACATGCTCGTTTAATCTCATGTTTCAGGTAAATCCCGAGTAATCGTAGCAGAATAACATACGTACGTGAGTACATACGCGCAAGAAGGCAACAACGAGCGCAGATCGCAAGGCTACAGCAAGAGCCAAAGCAAGCAAAAAAGGCATAAAAAAGAGGAGAAAAAGAAAGAAACAAAAAGGCATCTTTTCGCAGCTCACGCATCGTTGTCGCGCCCGAGTGCAGCAGATAGATTAGCTCAGCGCAGCGCAGAAACTCTGCAGGAGAGGTGCCCAGGGATCTCTGTCTTTCTCTCTCTCTCGCTGCTACAGCACGTGTGCACGCGTATTTATGCTGCCTGTATAAAAGTGTGCGTTGTGAGCAGCTACTAAAGTTGCCACATAAGTTCTAAGATCTCGGCATGAGGATTGCGAGAACGGATCGAATTTGGCGTGAAAGGGCGGCCTTTAAGGAGGAGAAGAAGGAGAAGGAGGCCTATGACAGTTGCGGCAGTAGTATAAGCAGCAGCATCTTTGACAAGTTAGCTCCGTCGAGTCAGTGGGAGGTAGCACTATTATGGAAGCAGCAACAACGGCGGCAGCAGCCCCCGAGCATAGACACCATCATCAGATTCACCAACAGCTTCGCCGACACCGAATCGTCATTGGACTGCAACAGCAGCAGCAGCAGCAACAGCAACAGCAACAACAACAACTGCGCGATGGGAAGAGCACAGCGGCAATCTCAACCGAACGGAGTAGTAGTCGTGCACCAGCGTCGTCGTCAACTGCAGCAGCACCGGTTCTGCCCAATCTCGATGTCGTGAGAGCCTTGCACCAGGTTTGTGTTGCATCATTTTCTGCTTATTCTCTCATTCTTTCTTATATATCCGTCCGAATTGAAATCGTCCGGAAATAAATCAAACTTGAGGTTTCAATATTTTGTATATATACTTGCTTGCGCGTGATGCAGAGCGAATTCGGTAAAGTTCCAATTTTAGTTTTACCATATTCTCTGCATATACGGCTTATTTCGGTTTTTGTACGTGCCGTTCTAGGTTTATCGCGCTTCCACCGTAAGGGGATGGAATAAAAATGTACGAGAAAAAAACATATAAAGTCCGGAAAAAGTCGATGTTTCGTACGCGAGTCTAGCTTGCACAAGTCGAGGCTCACGCACAATATTGTATACGTTGGCGAGATGAGAAGGAAGCGAGCTCGCTCGAGCTTTTTTAGATACAACAATTTCAAGGGAATTTTATTTTGATATTACCGCGAAGATTCAGTTATAAATCCGTATTGTATATAGATATATTATCCTCGTGCGCGAGATGAATTAAAAAATACCAGAGCCACGATATAGAATGCAATATGAAATCGTTGCGAATCTAAAAGCTTCAAATAAAGCTTTAGATCGATGAAATAATGCAGGCGGGCGTTAGCTAGGGCTCATTACATAAAGTCCTGCATTCCATAGAAATCCCATTTTAATTTTTTATACGAATCGAAATGATATCATTTTTCCGAGATCTACCTACCTTCAAGTTTAATTAGCTAATCGACTGAGCTCGCACTGCGTACATGTACTGACTCTATGCTTTATGCAAGCGTCTAATTGTTCTCTTATCTGTTTGCAAAATCTCGGTACATCGGAGAGAAACACGCATCAAAGCTAAAAGCTCTTCATTATCAAAGCTCTCTCTCTCTCTCTCTCTCTCTATCTCTCTCCTCGTACTTCATCTGTCTGTCTGCCTTTGTCTAATAGCCCAATAAATTGGTTGGTTATATGTACGTACGTGCAACGATGCAGCCACTCGATAATTGGAAGAACGACGATGAGAAAATCGATCTCTCTTCCTCTCTCACTTGCGTGCATGATAAATTTCGTTCTGGCGTTCGCGTCGATGAAAAGCAAAGCTCGCTCTGTCTCTCTCCATCTCATATTCTCTCCTTATTTCTCCCTCGCAGTAAAGTGCACGATGCACGTGGGGCTCTCGGCGCATACTGGGCCAAGAGTACCTATACGTATATAGTCGCGGCGCGTCGTCGAGTCACGCGATCGAATTGCGATGGCTCTTTTTTTCTGCCCTTCGACTCGTCGCCTGGCTAGAAATGGGGTTGAAAAAGTCATTCATGGGATATCTGTGACGCAAGAAAGCTAGTACGTATATCGACGCGTTCTTTTTTTTTATATATATATTTCGCGATCGCATTATATGGGACAGTGAGAAACGAAGACAGTATATATTACTAATAGAACGAAGTTTCGAGCCGAGTTTATCGGAGAAAAATGTGCTAGAAGGGATATATAATGGCGAGCGAGGCGCACAGAATTAGATCAATTGGTCGGTGCCGAGCGTGAATGTTAAAGAGCTCGATGCACACTAACTCACGCGCACAAGAGATGGCTACGATTCACGCGTATACTGTAGCCGAGCGTTGTATGTAATACACGTATGCGCTAAAACCTTAAACTAGTCCAAATTGACTTTAAATGAATCGCTAACGAGATACATAAATATGCTAGTTGTGGTGCTGCTCATAATTTTCCGCGACTAATCTAAGCTTGAAAGCACAGGCTTTAATTAATCATTTGGAAACGAGTTCTTTCCTTTCTGCATTTTCAAACGAAGCCAAGATATGAGTACGTACGTATAAGTACACCGAATCGCGCCATGGGGCACGAGCTGCAGCACTTTTAATACTCATTCGTGCAAGTTTGCGTGAACGCGCGCAGGGCAAATTATATGGTCTCGGCCGTTGTCGCGGCGCGTGATACCTTCTGCAGCACTACTGCATATTATACACATAATGTGTATGTGTGGACTGCTCCAGTCGTTGTCTCGTTTTGCTCACTTTTTCTTTTTTACGGTCTTGGTACGTAAAAATAGCCTCGTTTATCCTCTCCGTTTAGCATACAACATCGATACGGATCGTGGTAAACACGCGACCTTCGCTTTCTTCTTTTTTGTCCCCCCATGTGTACGTATAAAAGCGCAGCTTGGCCATTATCTCTATACACATATATACACATTAAAGCAGTTCGCCAAACATTTTTTTTCTCATCGTATTTTCCTCTTTTTCTTTCGTACCATTGTTGTAGAGGAACGGCTAATATTCTCGTCGCTTTACAAAGTTCGTTTGTGCGGACGCGAGTAGAGTCGTCGCAGCCGAAACCTTTCTATATACGTAGCAATCCCATTAAAGTTTCGTCCATTAGCTACAGAGAACTACACGTAGGGATAGTTTTGTGAAAAACGTCAGCGTGGATGGAATCCTGACGCACACGCGCCATCGATCGGTCCATTAATTTCTCTTAGACCGTATTTTCTCTCTGTTCAAATTCAGCATTCTCGTCTACTCTTTTTCCTCGAGCTGAGTTGTTATTATAATATTCGCTCGAAAAAAAGCGCGAAACAAATCTTGACTGCAAGCTCGCAAAGAGAGCGAGAGAGGGTGGCGAGTAACTTAATTTTAATCATAAAAGTTTTATCGAGCTTGCAGGTATTTTATTATTATGCACGCCCGCGCGGCGCAAAGCCCGGCGCAACAAAGTAAATAAATTAGGACGCAGCCTTCTCTCTCTCTCTCTCTCTCTTGCTACATAATATGAACCGTGAGCGCGAGCTTGAAGCACTGGTGCACGACTCGAGGTGCACACGTATTAACTAGGTGAATCGAGGGCAATCGAATGAAAAGCGATTCAACAAGAGAGCGCGAGTATACTGCTGCACGAGTTTGTATACGTGAGTATGAGCGCGGCACTCGCTTATCGTGAAAACAGTCAGGCTGTATAATTCCCTGTCGTCCTTACTCTCTTATTATTTTCCTTTTTCTCCGAGGCATACACACACTACAGCTTCTCTCGCGGTCGCTCTTTTGCAGTGCGCGATAAGCGCGATTTTTTTTTGCACCGCTGCAGCATCACTGTCCTTCAACCCCGACTCATCTAGAGTCCGTAATAATATTGTTTTTTGTCTCGCCCGTCTCTCCAATGTCGCTTTGAGCGTTTCGTGCAGAGCTTCTGCCTCGTCCTATACTTTATGTATGTGTATATACGATCGAAGAAAGTCCGCCTGTTATTATGCGGAAGTTATTTTCCTCTGTATATAGCGCTTTCGTTGTGCACGCGCTTATAACATTGCGTTGCAATGATAAAATAAAATATAATGCCGCGATGATGCACCCGCGTCGAGTCGTAAAAAATGTTTTTCTTTCTGTGTATTTTCCGTCTTTCTTTCTTGCTCTACTTTTATCGAGCTGCGAGAAAAACTATGACGAGAATCTCGTTATACGCGGCTAAATTGCGATATATAATAATAATCATTCAGGTCTTTCTCGAGCGCGCGAACAAATTGTACCTGGAAATCGACCAGTGCAACTCCTTACAATGCTCCGTCTCCCTTTTTTTGTTCTACAAAATATTATTTCTATAAAAAAAAATCTTTTTTTGCTCGCTCGAAGCGTAGAGGTAGTTGCGTTGGCTGTCTCAAGCGCAAAACTATACAACTCGATACTTGTCTTTTTGTCGCAATCGATGGCAAAATTTCACTTTGACGAAAAAACGTCGTGACGAGGAGTGAAAGTACACATACATAAAACGTCGAGGTACGCGATACCCTCGAGAAACGATGGCAGTGCTGCTGGCAGAGAGATAGACAATCGGCATGTCCCGGCGCTCTCCTGTCTCTCGCTCGCAGCAAGTTTTTTGTGCTCTGAAAATCGTTGTCTTCCGCGCTCCGCTCGCGGGGGCTTCGCGTGTTTATGAGGCGTCGTTAAGCGGATTAATTGCACTATAGCCTCCGCACCGTGTGCGCACCGACTACACGTTTGTATGTGTGTGTAAGCTAAGCGAGCAGCATACATATATACAGCGTGTTGTTAATTGCGTGTAGATCCACATACAGACACACACTCGGTGTTTCGTGTATCAATATACATGTGAGCACACGCTGGCGTTATTACGACGCCTAATACAGCCGGTTGCACGTTTATATTGTACTATATATATTTTACACACACACATATGTATACGAAGCGGAGAGAGATGTATAAAATATAGTAGCTACAAACAAAGCCGATTACGTTGCAGCGAAGTACGTACACATGTATGCGGTACACAAAAACTTATGTAATATTACGAGGCGCGATGCTCGGCTTGCGGGGCAAGCCTATTACGACCGAGCTCTCGAGCGTTATATATAACTTACGCGCTGGAATCATTAGGTTTGATTGCCATGTACGAAAGCGTACAGTGTATGAATGTATATAGGTATAGGCCGCAGTTAGTAGCGCACAAGCTCGTCTCGTGCTTGCGGAACGACTCAATTTCCAACAGTGCGTACGGATCGTATGTCTGCATGTGCGAGCGCGCGTAGGACATTTTTTGTGTCAAGAAGAGGCGTCGATCTTCGCGATGTGCATTGGCTCTACGCGTACGCATGTACTTGCGTACCTCTGCGTCATAGACGAAATTTGACGTGTACAACGCATGCGGCGAATATAAAGCCAAGCCCGCGGCTGCGTAAATCGTGCGTAACGCACGCTCGAGAGATTAAAAGCTCGACCCATACTGATACTATATACGCGCGATTTAATATAACAGCATCGATACGTTTAATATTAGCGCGACGCGAGCTCAGCATTGAGCGAATAAATTGCTATACCGCTGTATTTAGCCAATGCGTGAGAGCATTTCTGCATATTATCCGCGGTCATGTCAGGCGCGCGCATAAATATCGTCATTTAAACCTGAACGCGCGTCACGCAGCCTCCGCGTATGAATATACGCCCGCTTTCGTATACGTGTAGGGCATTATAGTGGTCGTTGTTGCAACTGATTAATTTACTCCTTCGCGCGCGTGCAGCTTCATAGTGGTGGTGCTACTGCTGCTACGTGCCTGACTCGTTGTCGTCTATGCGATGCTAATTGACATTGCCGCGCGTCCAATGCTCGTGTTCGCTTCGTCTCCGCGTTACATTGTTTCAATTCGTTTTATGGTTTAGTCCGTTGCATATACATGCTATACGTAACAAGAGTATCGGTTGCATTACACACTCGTGCGCGCGTTTATTGTTGATGAATCAAATGACAGACGGACAACGCGAACGCGAAGGAGATAGGATGTGAGTAATATGCTCGTTACAAAAAAGAAAACAAACAAACAACAAGCAAGGCCACACTAGACACACCGACTATTTTCGTCAATTAATTCAATGTCTCGGAGTCGAGCCATTGTCCATTTACAATTTGAATTTACGCGAGTATTCGCGAAATATATAGTTGCAGCCAGTAGCAGTTGTGCTCTTAAACTATGCAAGCGTGCGACACAAAAGTTAGCAAGAGCTGCTGCTACTGCTCCTACTACTGCTCTCGCACATTACAGTCGTACGAGCTTTCGACGCTGCACGCGCGAAAACGAGGCAGAGACAATATTACACATGTCACGTTGTGTGATTGCAGACGGTGATATCGTTGCGCTCGGCACTAGATACGTCGCGCGAGGAGCTGCGACGCCTCAAGAAGCTACAGGTCGAAGATCCCTCGGCCGCGGCTTCGTCGATAATCAACGACAGCAGCAGGGGCGGCAAAAGCAACGTCTACGGCGAGACCGTCGAGCGTTTGGCTCTCGAGAATCACGTGCTCAGGAGACGACTGTTGAACAGAAGCAGCGAATTCAGCAGCGATGCCGCTACCTCGCCCCGCAATCCTGACGCAGCACCAGCAGCTACAGCAACTGCAACGGCAACGGTCCAGGTTGCTCTTTTAGCTCCCAAGTGAGTATCGCGAGATTACGTGCTTCTTTTTTTCTTTTTGCATTATGACCGAGTCACGTTGTTGTTTTCGTCGGATGCAGTTGCGGCCGACGAAGACTGTACATGTAATAGGTCACGTTTTTAGTGGCTTTTTTGTCCGGCGATACTTCTATCTGTGCTGTATAAAGATTTCAGCGCTTTTTTCTTTTGCATTCGTTGTTTTTTTTTTTTTTTTTTTAATATTGATAGAACGACGGAAAGATTTTTCCAAGAGGAAATAAGTATATTGTCTCGTTGTACACAAAATTTAAGATGCTTTTTACATCACCCGGCGATTCTTCCCGCGTTCCCGTTTTCGTGACACTCTGCAAAGAGAATAAAATATAAAATGTAAGATCGGTTGTCGAATTCGCTGCATAGACGGGACGAAAAAAGGAAAAAAAATTGCCAAGAAAAAGTAAGAAAATCGTCATTACTGCAGCAACATCTCTGCTGAAGCTGTTGTTGCATGCGATCTAAACGACTGTTCGCGGGAACGTCAAAAATTTTCTCGTACACTTTCGCCTGTCTTGGAGATTTCGCACCATTAGCAGCAGCTACGGGATTCGTCGAGCCAGTGTTGCTGTTGCCGCTGCCCCTGAGTTGCGCGTTATCCCGCACGATCAAGAAAGTCTTGGTGACCATTCTCGAGCTGTTTCCGCTGGTGGAACACGATCCGACGGTCCTCGCGATCATGATGAGTCTCGTGTCGCTCTCATCCTCCTGCGTGGAAAATGTACACACGGAGGTTGTAAAGAATCATAAACGACAACTGCAAACACACACGATGATCGATGCAACACATAACCTTGTCGTCCGACTTTTTACGATTCCAAGGCTTTGATATTTTCTTTTTCCAATCTTTCCAGACATTTGATAGTGTACTTTGGTCCCTGACCACGCGCTTATGCAAGAATTTGTCAAACCTCTTGAATAACTTGCTAATTTTTACATTTTATGGGAGCCGACTGACTCGTAACTTGAAGTTGTCGAAAGTATATAGTATGAAAAATACGAACAAAAAATCACTTTGCTTTACTACTTCTCTTTTTGTCCCCTGTACAGAAAAGTCGAATTCGATATCAAAATGGAGCCTACGGAAGAGGCCGCCGTAACGGAGCAAAAATCCGAACTGACGGATACGGCGTCATCGCAAGAGCCTCAATCGTCCACGCTGAACGAATCCCAAGACAAAGAGGAGACCAGCGAAAATACGTCGATGGACAAAAATGACGAAGAGTCGGAAGCAGCGGAGTCGGCAGCTGCGTCCAGCGGCAATAAACTCGCCAGCCAGGGAGCGTCCAACGAGTCGGAGAACGAGTCCGAGGAGCTCGACGACATAGAGCTCATATTCACGACCGAGGAAACGTGTCCCGAGGTCGGCCGAGAGGATCTCGTGCCCATCGGCGACGCCGAAACTTGGCAGCAACAGCAGCAGTTGCCAATTACCCCGTGCTCGGTAAGTTGTGCACGTGTCTTGTTGCATCCACATCAAAACTTTATTAATTTCTCCGCAAGTATAGATCGAGCGAAACGCTAAACAGCTTACGATCTCTTGCGCGCGCTCGTCTAGATACTTGCTGCATTTCACGGGCTCGTGCTGCAGTGCAGTATTATATGTACGGCGTAATGACGTGTTGCGTCGCTATTTATAAAGTTAAACAATCGATAAACTTGTGTGTGCTTTCCAGAACGAGCCCCACAAATCAGTGCTGAAAATCTGCCAGGCCAAGTCAGCCGACAGCGGCGAGCCTAGCTGCACCTTCAACCCCAATTGCAACGGCTCCAATGCCACATCCACGACGATAACAACGGCGACGACGACGACTGCAGCGGCGTCGGGAGCGACGTCATCGTCGGCTACTCAAGCCCCAGCCACCGCGGAAAAATCGAGTTCTATGGACGACGCGGCTGGCTCGTCTCAGAGCAGTAGCATCGATCACGAGGAGAGCATCGATCGCTTCGACGAGAGCTCCAGTTCGAGGCTCAACAAGATGTGGTCCCAGTGCTCGGTCCTGGTCGAGACCGACATCAGCAAATGCGGCGTCCTCGAAGAGGTCGACTTGCAAACGAGAAACGCCGCCAGGAGAAATACTCTCGCCGCACCCCCGACGGCTTACAGGTAGGAGCTTTTTTTACCAATATCGAGCTTGCAGGCTGGCTCAGCGTACGTTTAAGGTTCGAATAATGAAAACTACGAATCTCACGACAGGCCAATAATTCATCGAGAAGCACTGGCGGCTGGTCGTCGAAAAAGTGCTACACCCCTGCGACCGGTATTAGATCACACGAGCGCAGGCAGCAGCGGCAGCCCGGTCGTCGGTGGCAGCGCGGCGAGCGGCGGTGCTCGCCGAGAATCCGGAGCCCAAACCGACATCTCGGCCCTGCCGGCCCAGTGGAGGTCCGAGAGTTATCTGGCCCACAAGGTGGCCCACACGTTCACCACGCTGCCGAGCAAGTTCGCCTTGCCGGCCGGTGTAGCGGGCCGTCTGCGGCTCTCCGACAAGACCAGGGAGGCCCGAAGGGTCATGCTGAGCGACATCAGCTTCACGAGCATGGTGCCGGAGCTGTCGCGCAGCGCCGACCACTTGTGCCAGGAGGCGGCGGTCGCCGCGGTGCTACAGCAGTACCCCGGTGCTCAGTGCTACGGGTCGCGCGCCAGCGGTTTGCGGACGCCCGAGGCCAATCGGCGCGAGTCCTGGGCCCGGGGCGCTGGATTGCCGAGCCCTTGCGAGTGCCGCTTGTCCGTGGACGTGGCTCGCTACCGGGGCAGTCTCAGCTCGATACACTCGAGCGCGAGCGTGGGAGGCGTCGGTAGCGCTGCTGGCGGCGGCGGCGACTCGCGTCGTCACTCTTGGCGGCCCAATGCCGCCGCTTCCTTCGAGGGATACTGCAGAGTGCCCTCGGTCACGCTGGCGCCGAGCGCTTCGTCCCATCATTGCTGCGGCGTCGGCGCCACGACTGCCGTCACTGGGCCTACCGGTGCTACTTTGCTCTCGACGAGAACGACCTGGTCGTCGATGCCGTCGTCGCCGACGCACGTCCAGCCGCCTTCGGCTGCAGTTATCGCTAGACTGCATGCTGGACCCAAACGCTCCAGGTCTAAAGTTACTTTTCAAGGTGAGCCAAAATAATCTCATTCAGCTTGTTTTGCGATTCTAATTAAAGGAGTGCTAAATTTGAACCTGCGTGACAATGTTCGTGTGCAGAATGTCCCATACTGATACGAGGCAGCCTGCCGAATCTGCGCTCGGAACAGCTACTGGGCGAGACGAGCGGTGACTCGACCGAATCGCTGATAGACGAGGCCGAGGAATACTTGAGGCGCAGTATCGATTCCATGCTGACGTTATCGACAACGGAAAAATGCCGCCATGGCAGCAGCGGCAGCAGCGGGGGACGACACTCGACGCGCAGGAGACGCGTCAGGCGGCATTCCGAGCCCGATTTACTCCGTGACTGGAATCCACCTCAAGACGCTAGACCTTATTTGCCAAAGGTCCGTTGCTATTGTCATTATATTGCTCATAGAATCCGATCGATCTGCCTCGTGCGTCACTCACATATTCTGGCCTCTTGCGTTCCACAGATACCGATAGATCTCAAACTGGACCATCTGGTAAAAGTGATATCACCAGACGGCAGGATACTGCAAGGTCGCGTCCGCTACGTCGGACCGGTCGCAGGACGCGACGAGGTGCACGTCGGCGTACAGTTGCCGACGGAAACTGGCAATTCCGACGGTACCTTTCACGGAAGGCGCTACTTTGATTGGTGAGCACATCCCCACATAGTACAGTCGAATGTCATTTATATGCACACAACCACCCACAGCCCGCGTGCGTGCCAACAATAACGAAGAGGTGTGCGCGACTCACGCAAGCCTCGCTCCATGTGTATAGCAGCAGCAGCAGCACGTCGTCGCGTTTCTGCAAATGTATCCATCAAAAACCGCGCTCATACGTATACCGCCACTGCCTATAAGCTAATCCTCTTTACTCTTTCAACTCAATTATCATCACTATACGGCAGTGGCGGCGCCCAACTTCAAACGGCAAAACGCGAAAGCCATTATGCTGCACGCCCGAATTGCCTGGCATTCATTCCCTTTTCGCCCCCAAACTCTATAGGCTATGCATAATAATAATCATCCCGCTGTTACTGCAACCCTCGCGAGGAGTGCGCGGATATATCTATACATACATTGTTTCGAGCACGCATAGCCTCGAATTAATGAACTCGCGGTGTACAGTAGCTGTATAGCTCGACTCTTCCTCCCTATCTCTCTGCCCGTATTTATATCGAGATCCTTGACCTCGTGATACGAACTCGTACAGCTCATAAGCAAACGAGGTCGGCATCAACGTGATTTGAATTTTCAACTTGAACAACGACGCAAACGGTATCAATATTGAACGTTGCTTAGTTTTTCTTTTTTTTTTATCTCTTTTTCTCTGTTCTCTTATTACAGCGAAGCGGAGCGAGCAATCTTCGTGCCGTTTAAGAAAGTCGTCTTGGCCTGGTGCACCACTTGACCCGAAGCTCCAGGCGCTGCTCAGTGCGGCGCCACCGCCACCGCTTCACGCCATAACGACGACGCCAGTATACCCGTGGCTCAGAACGCGCCGAAAATATTCTTATCGCAGTATACAATGTGAAAGACTCCCATCGTGCGCGAGGCTCCTGATGCTCGGCTTGTATATTGATCGATATTATATATTATATGTGTATATACTATTACGTGAGTATGCGTGCATACGTGCATATGCACGTGGTATACATCGTGAACTGCAAACTTGTAAGCACGATGAAAGTTTTAATGTTGTTGATCGATGTACGGTTATTTATACATGTTACGATGCAATTATACAATTGACTGCTGGATGTTGAAGATAGGAAACGTTTTATAATATGTAAAAAGAAAAAAAATACGAGCTCTATATAATAATCCCGCGTTCTCTAGTCAATACCGCGTACATTGAGGTTTTTCATTTTAATTCGATTAGTCATTTAATCCTAAACCATTTGCGAAAAAATCACAAAAATCGATCGATGCTAATTTGCGCAGGATTATATTGTAATCTTACACATAGAACAAGGTATATAACATGGTGCTGCTGTACATGGATGACGCGCGCAACAAGTTCTGTATAGCGATAGATCGATTCCTCGTTCTATCAAGCATATAGAAATTATATATTTATGAATGCGACATTATAAATATAGAGCAAAGTTCAAATTTGATTACTGTGTAAGATTACATATTCTTACGTACACAAATGAGTATGCAATTACATAGCAGTATAAAGAAAAAATTATAACAATATATTCTTCCTATTTACGAGCTGATGAGTAAATCTCTATATTTTCTCGAAAAGACACGGCAGACTTTTCATTCCCGAGTCGATGTTATAAAATGGCACCGCAAATCAAAAGGAATCTCGCAAATATCCCACCGCCATATGATAACGATCTATATTTTATTACAAAAACTAAATGCGTAAGTCGTATACATAGTAATCAACAAAATAAAAAAAGCAAACCTGCAGTACAATTTTCTTCGCCTGTGCTTGGTTATAGAATTTTTCTCTCTAGTAGAAAAACGTACCCAAGCGTAAATCTCACTCTTCGTCCATATACATGTATATTAGCTCCCTCGGGATCTATGTACAATAATCAAGATGGTAAAATTAAATCTACTCTCCTTGATGTGGATAATGTAAAGCAAAAAAAAATTATACATATATATAACATTTCATACTACGTGACTTCGTCTGTTGATGGTGAAAGAGACTTGTCTGTGTGTGTAAGAGAGAGAGAGAGAGAGAGAGAGAGAGAGAATACGGAGGCAACTAAGAACAGTGATGAGAGCAATCGATATATTACATCTAAGAATTAATTGAATTTTACGATAAATAAGTATGATGTAAGAAGTACACGTCGCTCTCTCGCGTACGGTATATGCGAAATGTATTTTAATAATTGCTACGTTTATCTAAAATTAATGAACAAAAATATATATATTAGACATATGTAAAAATAATATTAGTTGCGTGTATATACATACTACCTATATCATCAATGAAAAGTACTGATATTTTAACGCTGAATAGAAAAAAATGGAAAGGATAACTATAAAGGAGTTTTCTACATAGCAATTTGGTCGAATGAGAAGCTGTAAATTATTAAAGTTTTAGCTAGGATTCTAATCGAATGACATTAAATAGGAGTTTGATGCAACTAACGAGCTCAACATATGTTAATCGTTCGAGTATATTACACGATATGATGAATGTATGTATGGAAAATATTTGTGATCTCTCAGAAAATAGCATATAACAAAATGAAGTATATGTATTAACTAAAAAATATAAATATTATGTATACTGTAATATTTTTCCGCTGTGTCAGCAAACGCATATAATGATTTTATCGATAAATATATCTAGAAAATTTAATAATCTTAAAAAAAAACATTATAATAGTTATGTTGATGAAAAATATATGTAATAAGAAATGTGAAAAAAGGAGATACGTACCTGTGTGTAGTAAGTGTTGACAAGTTAATTTTTGTACATCGTTTCATTTGAATATTCTGTGACAACAACTTATATCAAAATTATCATAGTAAATTTGGAAATGTCACGTATTACGAAGATAAAAAATCACACATTAAATTTTAAAAATTGTTCAGTGCAACGGTGATTATTACATGACATTATAATGGTAGAATGTTCCATCAGTATTGAACCGACTACTACTTTCGTAAAATAAAACCTTCAATACATGACACGACTTTCTTATGGCTGTATTGTACTGCATTTTCTTTGTCTTCGAGTTAACGACACTTTTTCATGAAACTATTACTTAAAAATTATCAAAAAAAATAAATAAATAAATAGATAAATAAACCATTTGTGTTGGATGTAAAAAAACTGTATAAAACATACTTAAACGATGCATACTGTAATAGCCGAAGATTTAAACAATGTTCAAACATTTAATGGACTGGTGTAACGAATTGTTTACAAATGAGATAACCGTAAGAATGGAGTTTGATCTCGTAATATTACCTTATGCGATAGCAAAATCGTATTTGACAGCCTTATTTTAATTTAACACAGAGTATTATAACCGATCGTCGTTATAATCGGTCCTTGCCATCTATAATGAAATAGTTATGTACATTAATATATATATGTACATGTAAAGTAAAACATTTTAATACTTCACATTCTGTTGCTACTTTTTTTTAGAAAATAATTTAAATTATTTTTACAAAAGCTAGAAAAGTATCTGCGATTTGCAAATGTGCGGGTTAAAACGGCGTACTGTTTTTTTAAGCAGCTTATATAATATATTTTAAAAAAGATATCTGTCATAAAGAATGAAGCATACTGATGTTTCTTACCTATAGATATTGAGAATGTTAAAAAATCGAAAATACTTCAATGAAAGATGAAAGATAAAATTCTCAAAAAAATTGGAAGCTTAAATGTCACAAATTTGTTAAAATATTATGAAAAACAGTCCTTCATTGTATTGCTTGTATGCACGCAAAATTATAATCAAGGTGGTAAATATTGTAACAAATCAAAAGAAAATCAACATTATAATGTAGTTTGAATTATTTACAAAAATCTATGCAGCTTTTATTCCAATCCATACTTGAAAATTTCCATATAATTTAGATTTATCGCAAATTTTTTCCATTTAACGATCTTAAACTAGTCTTTAACCAGTCTTAGCATACTTAACGATTAACAATTGATAAATCTACCATCTTTTCATTGCATTTTTATTTTCAAACAATAACGAGAACTCAAGTCTCTTGATAACAAAGAACAAATCTTTTTTATAAACATTACACTTTATAATATTTAATGATAAGTCGGATAATCTGCATACCAACTAAAAGCTCCATTCGGTCCGGTATGTGCGCCAAAATCTACATAATCAAGAATGTGTTTGGTCACAAGCGGATTCGAGGCTGCTGCAACTTGTTGTTGCGGTTGCGGTTGTTCGATTATTCCGACAGGTTCGCGATGATGGTGATGATGATACTGATGGTTGTGAGGGTACTGTTGTTGCTGTTGCAACGACGAAGAGGTGGCATACGAAGTATCAGCTTGTCTTGGAAATCGCGATGGATAGCTCGGTACAGGATCCAATTCGATGATGTCCACGTTGTCGATGGGTATGGCGATGTACCTCGTCCCGGCTTGCGTCAAATTAAGACAAAGCGTCGCTAAAGCAATTAAACGCTAAAATTGTGAGCGAAAGAGAAGAAAATTAAAATTAGTCTCGTGATTAAAGTGTCGCTTAGAGTGTTAATAGAAAAAATAACGAAATCAATTACGATTACCAAAAACGCATTATTGCCACAAGCGTATTTACTCAGCATCGTTGGTTCGTTCACTGCAGATTGACTGTAATTCGACTAAGAGTTTAAGGAGCTTGACAGTCTGGTTTTATATATACTCTCGCGAGCGCCTCTACGCTTTCCCGCAGCCAAATTCAATATCGTTTCACTTGCCCGATTCCTTCTGGCAATTATGGGGAGAGGTGGATGTCTCCTCTCTACCTCTCAAGAAGATGTTTTTATAAATTCTATCTCTCTCACCTCTTTTTACCTTCTCATTAATTTTTTTCTATCTCTTTGTTCAATATAATCCAAGATGACGAGGTGTATACTTAAATACAAAATACTGCCATACTATTTTCCGCTTTTCGACTTCAACGTTATTTTCTTAAACGAGGGATAAAATAAAAACAGCAAATACTTTCGATTGATAAACAATTTTTTATTATCAACTTTCATTATAAAAGAGTAGAAATTAAATTTTTTAAAGTAGACAGATCTTTTGTTGACCGCAGAAAACGTTTAGTTTGTCAAAAAGTGTTTTAAACATCGCAAGAGCAGTTGGTCAGTCTTTTCTACTGAGCTTAGTGATTTACAATTCAAGAAAATCTGTCTAAAATATTTTTTTTTTAACTTAAAAAATGAATGAAAGCGATTTTCAACACTTTTTTAGAAAATAGATATCTTTCAAGAAATCATCTTACAAGTACTGTTAACATCTTTATTTACACATACTTTTATCAATAGTAACAAAGCTATATCCTGATAAAAAGTCAACAACTTGGTGTAAATAATAGGATTGGTAACTTTTTCTCGTTGGAGAAATTAGAGTGAAGGCACTTATATTCAAAATTGAATATTTTACAATTATTATAATTTAAAGTAAATATTCTAATTTTGAACATAATCATGTACTTATATTCTAAGTATAACAAAGGCAATTGACTTCTCAACTTATTTTGCATAAAAAGTAATACTTTTTCTTTAAAAGATATATTTTAAATTTAAAAAATGAACAATATCATTTTTAGGAATGAAACTTACATATTGGATCTAAAATTTAATGAATCTCATCGGAAATTACCTTTTTCGAGTCCACACAACCTTAGAGTATTGTCTAAATACTTCAAAAAGTAATTTATAGAATATAGTTCGTATTACAAAATTAAATTTTTAAGTAATTTTGCGAATACTAGTTACATTAAAATTAAAATGATCGAAACTTTAATTTGTTAAAATAAGTAGCTTATAACAAAAAAAATATACGAACTAAAAATAATTGTAGTTTTATAAGTAACGTATTTTTTTCAATTATAAAGCTGAAGTAGGTACGAACTATATAAGAAATCAATCAACAAATTTTACTTTTAACGCTATTGTAAAGCTTGAAATTAGAACGACTATATAACTGAACTTGGGTTACATAAAATGAATAACCATCCACAGCCGCGTGTGAAAACTTATTAAACTGCGACTAAAACATAAGTCAAAAATGTAATGCTAATGTGCTAATGCTCTGATTATGAGCAAACATCAAAACCATCAATGTCGTCATCGTAGAAATCATCTTCGTCACTACTCTCAGCCCCAGCCGGAATAAAGGTGTACTTTTTTACTCCAGTTGCACCTCTAAAAGGATTGTGAGGTAATGACTTGTCACGACCTGTAGACGGAGTGTTTCTCTCTGCTTCGATTAAATTAGATGAATTTGTACCATTAGATTGTGGCGACGATGTTAAATCGATTACTTCTATCTGAAAATTGTTGAATTTAGTCTGGAATATATATGTTCTTAAAAAAAATAAAACTTTTATTGTAAATAGATTTTGCAATATACCTTGTGTAATTGTACTGGAGTTTGTGGAGATATCGAGTCTATTTTGTCGGTTGCACCATTTAAGAGAGTATCAGTGGTTTCATTTTTGCCAATGGCTTCCTCGCAACTATCGACCAGGTCGTTTGACTCTTTTGTTGTTTTCGCGAGTGTTGTTGAATTCTCGTCATTAGTATCAGCAACAGCCAAGTTTTTTTTTATCAATTCCTGAGCTACGTCCAGCAGATCCTGAAAATTTGATGATTTTTGCATAATTTTGGGTAAAATAAAAAATTATATACATGATGTGAGAGATTTTTTTTCGTATTTTCATGGTAGTATTACAAGCGTGCTAAAAACTTTCTAAAGGTGTGTACAACGCGTTAAATAAAAAAATAAGATGAAGATGCAAAAAAATCTCCATCATATGGAAGTGAAATGACATAAAATTCACTTTTAACAGCAAAATATGTACATACCCCATTGGATAATCTGACAACTACATCAACATGTGGTACAAATGAAGTTTCAGTTTTTTGATGAGAAGACTTTTCGTTGGTATACTTGCGGGCTCTGCAACCTTTCATTCTGACGAATCGATGCGAATCTTTTATGTTGCTCATGACTATGAATTCTCTGATAGCGCTTGTGCTCCATACTTCTTGTCCCGATGATGATTTGCTGAAAAAAGTAATAATATCTTGTTACTTGCTATTTCTAAATTAAAATCAGTTGGCTTAAGAAGCACAAGAAAATTGTTGATTCTTGTTAAAGTCGATGATAAACGAGACGAGCTCGCTGCCAAAATATGCCGAGAGCTTTGCTCGCTTGGCGAGCGTCTAAAAGACACTCGAGTAAAACTCATTGATCGCGTAAAAGAGATTATTTCGCGCGCTCGCGCGAATTTTGAATTAAAACATTAGCTCTTATATAAATAAAACCGAAGCGCCGTGACCTGAAAGTGGAAAATTTTGAAAAAGAGATTTGAGAATGAGAAAATTTCAATAGTATAATTTCGCATGACGCAGAAGCTGCAGATTTACAATATAGATGAATAGTTTTAGAAGCACGAAGAACTTAACATAAACAGAGCGATAAGTCATAATAGCGCCGACTAGGTGCGTGTAAGCCATTGGATTAGCTCCAATGCTCGCTTTACATCAACTTTGGATTTTTTTTATACGGTGCAGATATATAGTAGACATACACGCGGCTCGCTCATTCAACGCACGCATGCGATCACAAAGTTTCTCTCTCTTCCTCGCGGCATTCGCTGAATTAACGACTTGGCGCTACAACATTATATTGCGTCTTTGTGTGACTTTATGTACGCATTCATATGTGTATATGCAGACGATAGTACACACACGCGTGGCAGTGGCACGTCGAATGCACGTAAGCTCGTAACGTATCGCCAACTGGCGCGCACTCGACGCTTCGCTCGCATCGCGTGCTGCTGCTGCTGCTGCTACTGTGCACGCCGAGTTTTGCGCCTCGTGTGTTTTATAATACACAGCCGAAAGCATAGCAAGGGAGAAAAGTCGATCGCGTGATTCTCGTGATAATAATTAAACTTTTCATGTGTGTGCGCGAAAAAGAGAGAAAGTAAAAGAAGCTTCCGATGGGCTTCAAGTGCAAAACGAAGTAAAGTGTAGTAGCTGTTTTGCGGCGAGCTTGAAGAGGGCCTTCGCTCTTTCATACATGTGGCATATGCCTAGTATAACGTAAAGACTATATGTTGTGATAGTTAAATTTGGACCAAGTTGAGTATCGTAAGTTGACAAAGCGAATGATTTTTTTTCTCGGTCGAGAATTAAAATGCTCAGCGTAACGAAGGAACAACTAGCACAATTTTCCTACATTACAACGAAATACCCGCGATAGAGAACGAAAATAGATTTTTATGAGATGTCTATACGTTCTGGGGTCTTGATTTTGCGACGCACTTTCACTCTAGTATTAGCTGTTGTTTTACCACCTTATTTGTTCTCTGCGAGGCCGATACAATTTCATTCTTTCGGTTCGGCAATTTTTTATCGTAATACCAATGAGAACGCGCATTACATGATTTACGTCGTGGAAATGATTTTTGCGTCGAAAAGTCACGGAAAAGTCGCCGCGCGTCACGCGTCCGCGTTTTTTTATCACCTGTGCGAAATAATCAAGCTTCAAGCTGGTTCGCCTTTTTATTGTATTTTACTTTTTGCAATGCAGTCACGATATACAAAGGCGAGCTTTTTTCTCCACGGTCCAATTGTCGCTCTATGTATATCGGGGGAAAAGTTATGTAAACGGAACAAAAGGATGAAAAAAAAAACGACGCAAAAATCTAACGCCGAAACGATCAAGCGAAGCAAAATCAGTAATGCCGCGTATATAATATATCTCGTACTCTCTGTGAAGCCATGAGTCACTTCTGCGGCAACGAGCTTAGTCTGCATATGCTCATCGGAATGTTTGTCACGAGCAAAGCCTAGAGATGATAATTCACGTACATTCACGCGAGGATGGAGATGGAAAAATGGAAAAGCGCATTTTATGCGTTCTCGCGCGTACGAGTCTCGCGGACGAAGACGACACGTGCCGAAACAAGCGCAAAAACGGAAACTGCCAGAGCAATGCCATGATCGTCGAATTGAATTAATCTACTCGTTCAACTCAATAGTTGCATACGTTTTAAACTTGAGATGCTGCTGCATATACCGGCTGCTTTTTATCATTATTCTCGAGTTTATTTTACTTCGTACTTCCTATATAAACAATTGATCATTGCAAGTGAATGGGTAGACGAGCACTAAAGCTTTTAAGCTATGTAAATACATCTACCACCTACCCTAAGAATTTGGGAATAATATTGGCATCTAAAGTGTTCAAATAAGTGTTGAGCATCTGTACTCGGTATCGTTAAGTTCCTATATTCTTTCCGATTCGTTCCAAGTGTTGTCAACCACATAGATGTATTTATGGTTTAGTTGAAAAAAAAATGATACGTAATTGAAACTGCAATTGCGCAAAAGATGCGCAACCGCGTGGAGTATACTCGTGTTCAGTTGGCTAACTAATAGAAAGAAAGAGTAATTAGTTTGCCTCGTGCATATCTATCAACTATACATCGCGGTGAACGTATTTAAATAGTCGAGGTAAGCTCGCACGCGATGCTCTCGCCGCGGAGAAACTTGCGCGCGATTGATTAGCTCCGCTTTCGAGTTCAAAAGCAAATGCATCGAACCGTGCAACCACAACTCCTAATCGCTTTGGCTTGTACGTTTGAGTTCATTACCGTGCTTCGTGACACGCTAAAAATCTTGATATATTATGTAGAATATTTATATGAATTTCTTTTTTTTATGAATATGTGCAGTTGATGAGCGATCATGGAACTGCTAATGCCAACGGTTTCCGACGTCATCTTCAAATACACGTGGCCAATAGCCAATTACAAAAAGACAGTTTCGAAGAAAAAGTCCATCGAAAGTCCAAGCTTTGACATCAACGTTAATGGCATTCATAGCACTTGGAACATGTCCATCAGATTTTGGAAAGGACCTAATGGTACGTCGGTTGGAGAGCAAAAAAACTATGCATGAACTTTCGTGTTAAGTTACAAAAGTGTTTGCACGCAGGTAAAAGATTAACGAATCCAGTTGTCCTATGCTTAAATATCCTCAATTGCCGGATCGACGAGGCCGAGCAGGCGAAGATTCGCTACCAATTCGCCGTCTTCAACGCGGACGTGAATTATTGGGAGTACTGCAGCGTCAATCGTACGGTTATGGAGCTGCGCTCGACTGACCAGCTGGTGTCGATTGGGCATCGAGACCTCAGTATCGAGGGTCGCCATTTGACCAAGAAGAGTCACGCCAGTAGCGGTGAACTGTCAATACTCGTTAAAATACAAATTATCCAGTATTGCGAGAGCGAGAAGCACAATTTGTCGCAGGACATGTCGCGATTACTAAAACACCAGCAGGCGATCGATACTCTATTGATCTGCGCCGGGGATGATAAAACGAGCGAGAAGGATGTTACGGAGATGCCGGTGCACAGATGCATTATCGAGGCGAGAAGTCTCGTTCTGACTGACATGATAAGAGCCGTGACGGACGAAGAGCGCAAGGAAACTTCGGACGATTCCGGAAAGGATTACTGCCCAGAGAATGTGAATGGCTTTGAAAAGTTTTCATTTTTATCAATTGCGACAATTTTTCTCGTATTCATTGACATTTTTTATGATTTTAGATCAAGTACAAATTAGAACTACTCGATTTGTCGAAAGAAGTAGCCACGGAGCTCTTACGTTACATCTACACTGATCACGTGGACAACATGGATAATTTGGCTGAACCTCTACTTTCTCTATCTTTGCGGTTTAGGTTGCAAGGTATTATTTGCTACAAGCTATCTATTAGTTTACATAATGCATTGGCTTTATTACTTTTCTTTTACAGGGCTGAAAGAATTGTGTGAGAGAAGTTTGACCGAGTCTATAACACCGGAGAACGTGGCTACAAGATTATTATGGGCCGATGAATATGATTGTGAACATCTTAAACGAGCCGGTCTTGCATACTGTGAGGAAAATGCGATGAGCATTACGAAGAATTTTGCTTGGAAAATGATGGAACAAGTCAATCCTGAGCTATTCAACGAGATTTGTGACAGTATCGGAAGTTCAAAATCTAGCGTGGACGATAGTGAATTGAGCAATTGAATATTAATACTTGTTTTGAAAAAAAAAAGATGTATTGTGATGACCAAATTATTCCCCTGAACTTGTAAATAATGAACTTAAATTTTTAAATCAATACAATAATACTTTAATTATGTGGTAAATAATATGCATGCTGCTAATAAATGATTAAGTTTATAGAAAGAATCGAAAAATTACTTACCAAGGTTTTATACCGTCTAAGCAACACTCAATTGCTTGCTTTTGAAGACTCAAAAAATCTGTGCGCAACTCATATATGTCTTTTTTATCAACGCGACTATTAAACCCAAAGTCGATATAAAATAATTCTGCTTGCGAGGGATGATCTTTTATTACTTCTGCTCTCATCCAGTAGCCAGAAACTTTACATACTACCATTTTTCCTACTTCCAACTGCGTTGCAATGATTAAATAAATAGATTAAATAAATATTAGTGTCAGCAAATATACAATTCATACAAAAGTGAAAAAATGTATTACTTTGTCTATCTTGTGCGAATCACGGTTTTTTTCATTCTTATAATATTGGTCCATTTCTTCTGTTAGATTTTTAAAATCATGTTTCAAATCGTTACGAGAAAGCATTTGTACGTAAAATTGACTTGGATTCTTAATTCCACCAAAAAATATTTGTGTCAAATTGAGATCCACTAAAAAAAAAGATAATTTTTCCTTCTTCAACTAGTATTATATCAATTTAATTGTAATTTAAATACTTGTTTGTATTCTTACAAGCACAAAAATCGTCAAAAATACCAGAAGTATTTTTAGAGGATTGAGAAGTTGGAGAGTTAGTATTAGAAATGCTGCTACTAATATTAGTAATACTGCTACTAATATTAGCAATTATATCTTCATTTTGTCTGTTTAGCAACTCTTTTTCTGTTTCAATGGTCAAAATTGCATTAGATATTTGCTCACTTGTACCTTTGATAGTTAATCTCCATTGACCTAAAAATGATCATGTTGAAATTAAATGATTAACTTGAATATAGTGAAATTGTCTTATACATTTCCTTACATGAAGTGCTAGTTGTAGGTATTTTTTCTATAATTATTTTAACATTTGTTTCAGTTTGAATGGCGTGTAGTAATTGTCCATTTCGCTCTTCTAATAATGTAACTGTAGAATATGGTACTATTTCATGATGTGATTCAATTTTAGGTTTTGATTTGATGATTGAGTGAATTTTTTCTTCTGCCAGATCCACATCTTCTTTTTTTCCTTTTATGATACAGTCTTGATGCGATGAGCTCACTTCAGCTGGTGCAAATTCTATGACTGTATGAGTGGATGTTTGAATATTTGTAAGGGTTGTGCCTCCACGACCTATGACTATGGGAATGTGTTCTTTGGGAAGTGATATGGTTCTGCAATATTTTCCTTTATTCTTTCTTTTTTCATCTTCCATCTTCTGTAACAAAATTCGTGCGAATGTAATGTGTGCCAAGAACACAATAACTAATGTTTGTGTAAACGCTACCTTATTCAAATAGTACAAAATCGCAACTCCCGCTGTTGAGAGCGTAAAACTAACGAACAAAGGAAGAAGAAATCTCTCCGGTGAAATTCGCATTTTGTATTCTGAAATAAATCACAGTGATGGCGTAATAATGCTGAATGATGAAAATTATCCTTTGAGCTGATGTCGAGAGTAGAAGGCAAGTGGTTTGTATTGATGAAATCGTATGCAGGAACAACACAATGATACAATTTTTGCAATTGAAATTTTCGATAACCTCAAAAAGGAATTAGCGCTAAAAAGCCGCAACCGCCCATACATACAAACACTCGTTCGTTCCTATTTTAACTATGAACTCATCGATGTAACGAGCGACTTCTATAGATGCTATATCTTAATAAAGGCTTGAGCATATACACTCACAGATTCGTATGTCAACAACGTCTTCGGACACTGAGAAAGGAAAATTGCAATTTTTTTTGTACTGGCGAAATTTTTGTGCGGGCTTCAGGAACAAAACAAAGCAATTCGTAGGTTTTCTGTTCTGGCCTGGAATGTATAATTAGCAGAATTTTCTTCAAGTTGACTTTGAAATATCGTATTCCGCATTGATACCAACTTGGCAAATTTCGCTTACTACATTGGTTCACTTCGCGCTTCAGTCTTCGCCGTCACAGGCCGTAGTAGCTGGTGTATACAGACAGGACTGTAAACATAAGCTACCCAACACGATACATACAATGACGTAATGTTCGCGCACGTGCTACACACTCGCGGCTGTAACGTTGCTTGCCTCGGCTGCCGATCGTTCGTAAGATTCAAATTTGTAAAATTGGAGTAGCCGTTTTCTCTGCGTTTTGAGTCGATATTATTTTTATATTTTTCTTACTAACAATTGTCACAAGAAGATTTTGTTAAGACGAACAGTAAATTGAAAATGGTCCGTTGTAACGTTCGACTGATATTTGAAGATCAAGGTTTGAATTTCCCATGCGTCAGCTCCAAGTATATTATTACAAATGTGATACTAGTGGAAGAGATTTTTTTATTCACTAGTCAGGATGTATAGTATTTCTGTCATTATTGTTATGAGAGCTAAAATCGATTGCTATTCTTTCAAGTTCATTTAGAACAATCTAATCAACCGATTGCGTTGGAATAGAATACGAACTTTACTTAGAAAGATGCTACCCGAAACGTCGATGACTTCACGTTGAAAAAATTATGTAACAAATTTATTTCTTAAATCCCATGGTAGCCCACGTATAACGTAAGATGGAACGTTATAAAAAAATGTATCCTTATTAATGGCCATAAAATTTTGAAAATCAACTTTTTCGTCCTTTCATTAATTTTTCGAAAAAAGTACTCGAACCAACGGGTTGTGAATAAAAAATTGAAATGTCCACTGCTATAATGGATTTATGTTCATGAATTCATTTGTTTATATATTATAAATCATTTTGCTTTTAAGTATTTTATTTTTCTAATACAATCAAAGGCAAGACTATCGGTCGATATTTAAAAAAAAATAGTGAAATTTCCCTCGTTCTAGAAAAACAATTCTTTTGAAATTTTCACTCTCAAGAATAAATTCTTTAAAAATGATTCATTACTTTAGAAATAGAAAGAAGATGAAATTGAAAATCATGTATCCCAAAAACGGAGCTTTTTTTTTTGGGCATCGAGTTCGATTGGCCGGGGATAATATAACTCGTCCCACACGATGCTGAATACGTAGGCGAGAAAAAATTGATATCCGCGGAGGTAAATGAAACGCACGTGGCTGGGCCTTGTTTTATTGTAAAATATTGTAAAATGCGATTTCTCGTCCGCACAGATGCAGAAACGATATGTCACTCGAGGGGTCGCGCGCGTTATGAAGCCCGACGCGATATCCTAGTCGCCTGGTCGTTCCGACGTTTACGGACGATGATTTGCCCGTAGCTCTTTCCGCATCGGCATACGTATATACGATATTGCATGTAGGTGCTACTTACACGAGGATTGCGTGTGTCAAGCCGCGCGGCATTGTATCATAACTCGAGCTCGGCTCACACACAGGCATACCATGTAATGCACATGGAATATCTCGCTTGTTTATTATCTCTCGAGGCTGCACGCCTCTCTTTCTCTCTCTCTCTCTCTCTCTCTCTCTCTGTCCGCTAGTCCGCTGGCTCTGACTGGCCGAGGCGCGCGCATGCGACTGCCGTACTTTTTCTCTCGTGCTTTTTTTTCCACCACTGCCGGCTGCAGAGTACATGCAATACAACTGCTACGACGATATGTATATGCAGCTCGTCTCTTATCTATCAGCCGCTATATAGCGTGGAGCGGCCTTTTGCAGACCAGCTCTCTCGTGCCAGGCGCAAATAGTTCCTCGCGCGTCATGACTCGCTGATAACTTTATCGTCCGTACTCGCCAAATAAGGAGACGAGCGCCGCTTTGCATACGTATGCATGCGCTGCGCTCGGCTCGACGTGTTGTTTTGCATGAGCGCTGCAATCTATGCATGTATACATATATACGCGTATGTATCGGACCCCCCTAAGCCACTTCGATGCCTATGCGCTCGTCGGTCGCTCGGCTTTCTCGGACTTTTGCGCTCCTGGTCGCGCTAAGTAAATGTGGAAATATTTAACTCGTGACATGGTCAATTAAATCGCCGATGCAGCCGGCTATATGAGCGTTGTGTGTGCACGACGTGCTGCAACTGCTGACTGATACAAATTTATTCCCTCCAATGCACATACCATTTGATTCGGATGCTCGAGTTTTTCATAATGTATTTATGCTAATGAGAAAACAATGAACAAGTACGCGCATTGTTTATCCCAAACTTATGAACCGGTTTCATTTTTATTGTATCTTAAATTGTAACCCTTCGCATTTCGTCTAGCTAGATATCATATTTTTCTATCACTATTGGGCAATAATTTGAATAAAAATTTATTTCCAAGCATCCCAAAATGAACGCCTCTTTTGTCAAAACGACTGTAGATTTGTCACCTATTAAATACCCCGGTAAGGAGAGTCCGAGTTACATTTTCTTTATTACGGTTATGGGACGACGATATGCTCTGACGCGCGAAAACAATTAGAAATTAAAGTTGCTGTTCAACATTTCTTTCTTCTCCGCGGACTTTTTGTACAGTTGCATGTAAATTCTTTCACCACCTTATGTATTCGTAATATTATCAACACTTAAGTAAAAAATAAAGATTTTCAGAGATTATAAAAAAATGTATTTCGTCCTCATGACGCGTCATCTGATGTTAAACTAAAAAAAGTAGACTTTGCAAAGGCAACAATCTGTATAACTTATGCTTTCAACTACGTCACGAGACTTCAGCAAGATAACGTTTATTTATAATCAATAATATTATCTTAGGAGACCATTTTTTGATTAATAAATCATTTGTTATCTGATTCCTTCCATTGGCCAAATGACGTAAAAAATTTTTTGGATCTGCTCATCAAATATTCAAAACATAAATAATATGAATTCCAAAGGCTAAAGGTTTCGCATTATCTTATAATTTATATTTATTTAATAAATTGTAAACAAATATCAGTTTTTCTGCTACTCCAATCTAAAGTAACATATTGCTCCCGCCGAGAGAAATCTAAATATTGCTTTAGGCTGGAGGATTCACAAGAAACTGTATTTGTATTCTCTGTATTCAAAAAACTGTATTCACAAAATACAAAATATACTATTGTTTACTCGATGTCACTTGACATTTTTTTACAATTAATTATTTGAAAGGTTGACAAATATGAAATAAATTGTCTCTAAAAAATCTTAAATTAGAACTTAGTACTAGTAAACTAGAACTAAATTAAAATTTTTTAATGATGTAAAGTGTACATTCGTTATTATAAAAAAATTTCATGTCTGATATTGTTTTGATTCATATTTAAAATCTATAACAATTTACACCATGCATCGATGGTAATTGAATAGCCGATATATTACCGACGTGTTTTTTGAACGCAAGTAGGCATAATAGGAAAATGTAGTTGGTAATAGTGAGAAACTTAAAACAGATGGTAGCAGCTATTCAACTATTTTATAATATTACTATTAGTGGCTACGTATAGATTGTAAATGTCAATAAAATTAAGTAATAATAGTAAAAAGTATGAATATTATAAAAAGATAAGTATATATGTTAATTTTGATTAGATTCACAGTTTTTCATTATATTTTGCCACTTCTTTGATTCCATATGAACACACATCACATGTCGAATACTGAAAGAAATTTGGCCTAAATATTGTAAAATATTTTATTTTCCTGAAGAAAACATAACACGTCTATTTTCGAGCAAAATTAAATTGGAAAAATTTAACCAAAATTTGTGTGATTTTTAGCTTTTGTAACAAGCATTGATGTAAACGTATTTAAAAACCTTGAGAGTTCCTTGATTTAATATTAAACATTTAATATTTTAAAGTTCAATGTAATTTTGTTCTTAAATTGGAGAAGAGATAAGTATCGATTAAAAACAGATTAAATTAATCCCAATTAAAATATTACAAATTATGATTTTTATGTTTTCCACTGAAAAATATGAAATAAACTAATGTTGTTTGTTAATAAAGTAAGACTATATAATTTTTTTCTACATATTTTAATATTTTTTTAATAATTAATCCGGTCATCGAAACGGTTAAACAATCTTATGTACCGTGAAACTCGTAATATAGTTTCAACATTTTATCAAAAATGTCTTGGAACTTTTTATTCGGTTACAGTGCCAGAATAAGTGGTTGATTTGAACGCTCATCTCTTAGAACTTTTGTAAAATTCATTGAATTTTCAATCTTTACCATCAAAAATTTTCCTAAAACCTTTTTATTAGTTTATATATTTCCGTTATAATCATCTTGCATATATCGTAGCATTGAAAAATTATATCTCGCATTCGGTTCTTTAATATCTAAGCTTTGAAATTTCGCTACAATTTTATTAAGCAGTTTCATTACGGGCATTTTTTAGTAAAATTAATTTCGCGCGTGAGGATAAATTAGATTTTTCATCATAATAAATTTTAGTTATTTTATAATTTCACTCGAATTTTTATGTAAAAATTCAAGATTCTTGACAAGCAAGTTAAACGTATAGACATATGCAATTAAACGATACCCATTGATTTAATTTCTTAATCTTTTAATAAATTAATTCATGGGAATTTTCACATGAATAATAGAATGAATCATATTTTTAGAGAAGTTGTTAACTTTTGACGCTTTATAAGTTGACTTGAAAGCTGGGAAAATAATTGAAAATTGTACCCGCCATGGAGCCCAACAAACAAACCAATTTCGATGAAAACAATAAAGTTGAAGATTCAACGAGAAGGCGAATAGATAATGTATCGGGTTCGGGTCATCAGTCTAAAAATAATCA